TTAACCTAAATGAATCTCTACAACGAAGTCAAACAGTATCAAAAATAAACCATTTGAATAAATAGGTAGGTGCACAATGCACACAATGTGTCATGTGTGGATTGTGGGTAGGTATAAATATGCTCTAATATGTTTTTTTAAGAGTGGCCCCTATTGTAAATGACCAATAGAATCCAATAAAAAATAAGTAATCGGTTTGAATTTGTTTGAAATGTGTTTTGGCGCTATGAATCACCAATTCATTCCAGTTGAATTCCTATTGGTAATTTCCAATGAAGTCAGCGGCTTGAATTGGAAAATACCAATAGAATCCAATAAAAAATAAGTAATTGGTCTGAATTGGTTTGAATTGGTTTGAAATGTGTTTTCGCGCTATGAATCACCAATTCATTCCAGTTGAATTCCTATTGGTAATTTCCAATGAAGTCAGCGGCTTGAATTGGAAAATACCAATCCATGCCTATGCTTGTCTCTATTGGCTAAATCCAATAGAAATGCACATGGAATGAATAGGTAATGCATAGCGCCAAACCCATTCCAACCAATTAAAACCAATTAATTTTTTAAAATTTGGATTAGAAAATAACTACCAGTTTATTTTTCATTCAAAAATAATTTTAGATCCCAGAAGGATAATCGGGTAAAAACCAGAATTCACTTTTCACAGAAGAGACAAAAAATTTATTGTTACTGAGTAATTTTATTTCTTTATTATTATTTTTTGTGATATGTGTACATAGGTATGTATTGATACATATAACTTACTATCACAAAAAAGTAATACAAAATAAATAAAATTACTCGGTTATAATAATTTTTTTGTCTTTCTTGCAAAGGATGTTTGTAGGCATGGTCGAAGTCGATATTGTTTATGTCAATTTTTTTTATTTTGTCCGCTGTGACTTTCTTACGCCATCGTCCCTAAACCTTACACATATAAACATGTTTTTAATATATAAGTACACTACTAACACTAGGCACTTAACACTGAAATCGACTAATAAAAAAACCGCTAATAAATGGCGTCCAAAGACTTGTTGTTGTTTTTTCTTTATGATGGCGTCTTAACCTCGTTGATTTTGCGCAGCTACACGAGAGCCCTCTTGCGATATTTGTATTGTACTGGGAATGCCCAATTGAATTCAATTGAAAATTACCTATAGGTAGAGATGTAAAAAAACGGTTTTTTTCAGATGTGAAAAAAACATGAAAAAAAAACTAGAAAAAAACCGGTTTTTTTTTGTTTTTTTTTCAAAATAAAATTTTGAGTAAAATGTAGAATATATTACATTTTTCATTATTGAAAATTTTGACCAAGACTAAAAAAATCTGATTTCTTATTATTTGGTAGTTTCCACATTAAAATAGTAAGTAGTAAGTAATGTAAAACTTCTACACTAATACAAAAATTTAAGGATAAAAAATTGTTTTTGCGATTTTTCGGATACGGATACAGATACAGATCTTTGTTAAAAATGGTCGTATTGGAGTCGTAAAAAAAGCAATTTGAAGCTTGAAGTTTATAGTTTTGAGATTTTTAGATGATAAACGTGCAACGCTCAATTCTAAAGAATACCGTAATAAAAAAAATCGTTTTTTTTGCTTTCTTTTTTGGTCCACGGAATGTTCTGACCACCAATGAATAAATGTTCTACAAGAATTTGCTATTGTTTTTTTGGAAAAAAATTTTCATACTCTACATAAATTTGAAATATCATGAAAAAAGTGCTTTTGGTAGCTTTTTGAAAAATCACGCGCTGAATCAAAAATATTATATGTAGTTACTTTTTTTAGGACCAAATCAAAACAAGCGCGGCCCTTATTGGTCCATTCGGTGGTGGTGACGCGTGCATAGCGCGAGACTGTATTTACATTTACTAATTGTGATTTAGTGGCTAATTTTAGTCCACGGAAACATAAAAAATTAGGCAAATGGGACTAATCTTGAAAAAAAACCTAAAATGTGAAAAAAAAACCATTTGAAAAAAAACAATGAAAAAAAACCTGAAAAAAACAAAAAAAACGGACGGTTTTTTTTCAAGTCGCATCTCTACCTATAGGTAGCTTTATCCAATCGAAACCAATAAAAACCATTAGAATCCTAATTGGACTTTTCCATCATGGAAAATACCAGTAAAAACCAATTTCTGTTTTATATCGCGCCCAATTAAATCCAGTATACTGGATTACTTATAAGTCCAATTCAGACCCATCCCAGTAAGCACAAATACGTCCTTAGGCTGTCCTCGGGACATTGCGGAAGTACTCAGGACGTCCCGCAATGTCCGTTTGACGTCCCTAGGAGGTCTACAGACGGCCAAATGATACACTTTCAGATGTCCGTAGGACGTCCTGATTAGGATATACTCAAACCAGCTTATTAAGGTACTGTGAGGGCTTTTTGAGACTTTTCTTTGGAAATCCGCATGTTGTCATGATAACTATACAGGGTGTTCGGAATAGTGCCACTAGCACATTTAAAAGAAAATAGATTTTACCCTTAGCGGCTTGGCATCCATATTGGTTTCAGCCACCCAATATTATTGGATCTTGCTTTTGGTGGATTGTAAAGAAAACATTTTCTTAGCTTTACATTTGATCAGACTTAGAAATTACGTTGAACCAAAAATAAATAACCAAGCCGAAAACCTTGTGTTGCGGCCATGATACTTTCTTCTTCTTCTCTCCCCTTCTTCCGCTGACGGATATGACACTCCCCTAACGGATATTAAACTTACGCGCTAAATTCAAATATTTAAACGTTCCTTACTATGACACCAACAGTTGGCAAATTCGGCAACTTTTGGAGCACTTCGAGTAACGATCGGTACAAAACGGTGGCAGTACAGTCGAAGCCAGCCGTATTCAAATTCAAATATGATATTATGCGCAGAAAGCAAAGTTATGCAGGACGATAAATGACAGGTAACAAATGACAGGTGAGAAATGACAGGTATGACAGGTGACAAATGACAGGTATGACAGGTGACAAATGACAGGTATGATAGGTGACAAATGACAGGTATGATAGGTGACAAATGACAGGTGATGGAAAGTGACAGATATCTGCCGCCTTGTATAATATTACAGGTGACAAATGAAGGTGGCAAATGACAGATAAGAAAATGACAGGTGGCAGATTATGAAAGGTGACAGATATTTGTCGCCTTGCATCATATGAGTCATATGATATGACAGGTGACAGATATCTGCCACTTTGCATCATTAGACAGGTGACAGATGATGCAAATGCTATACATTTTTTGCCTTTTGGAAAGACGGCATGAAGATATCCAATATATATATATATATATATATGGTATACTATTTCCATTTTAATTCTATGACGTCCTATGGACGTCCAAGGTACGTCAGAAATGGGATACCCAATATACTATACCCAATTTAATTTCAGGACGTCCCATGGACGTCCAAGGTACGTCAGAAATGGGATATCCTAAACTGGCCCGGACAGACCCAATCAGGATGTCCTTGGGAGGTCGTGTGCTATTTGGGATTGATAGCAACCAATACTTAAATTGGTTTCTACAGGAATTAATCGGTCATTTACAACAGGGGCAGCACTTCAGAAGTGCCACTTCTCTGTGAATTAAGGAATAAAAAATAAAGTAAGAAATTTAACCCCAAATAAAATTGGTAAAGGTCAAAAATTACGATTTTTTTATCCTTCGGAACCGTTTTAAAATTAATGAGCAAACAAAGATATAAAAGGGTGATTTTATTATATAATACCTAATTTGGTTGACGGAATCATGGGTCCGTATTTCAAAATAAACAACAACCGGTCATCATCAAGCCTAATATTTGCACAGATAGGACAGAAAGCAAATAGACGACTTATACACGCGCTGAACATCTAAAGATATGGCTTAATGGAAAGTAAACAATTATTCTGATATCCGACAAGTACCGCTGAAATATTCAAATCATTCCTCCACTCAATTAACTTTGCTTTGTTTCATCCCTTCTGCCCGGAATCAAAATATTACCTATTTATTAAGCTTTATTGAATGAACACAAAATACATCCCTGTTTGATGTTAATTATTTACGTTTAATTTTACAAGCTTGGATTGGATGCTCAATTAACCTTAAGGTTATAACCGTAAGAAAGTTAAGTGTTAATAAATTGTTTATTTTTAAGTTTAGGGTAGTTATGCAATAATAATTTTATGTTACAAATTAAATTGTCTTTTAAAATATGTATCGGAAACCCTCCATTTAAATCAAAAGAAAAAATTCCACCAATTTGCTAATTTAACCCAAGGATTTTAAAATCCTTGAATTTAACCCATGTATCATGAATTTAACCTACTTTGTATCGAAAAAGTCTTCTTCTTCTTCTTTGGTGGCCAAAGGCCTTAATGGTCTCGGTTTCAATGTACCATTTTGACCACCAACAAGTTTTAATGTCCATGCGCTTCACGAAGCCATCCACCCATAGACACGTGAATTTTCCAAATCTTGGATGATCCACTTACGTGAAAACTCTTAGATAAATCCACAATAACAATTTAATTGAAAATGTGACTTAGCACTTCTTGCATTGACCCCTTCAATTTTGTCCCTCCTGGGTCACACTTTTTTATCGAGCGATGTCCCAGAGATGAACCACACACGAAAGACAAAATCGAACTCGGAAAAGTCAATATAACACGCAAAATTAAAATCTGAGACACCCTGTACCTAAATATATTAGAATTTAATTCATAAAGGAATCACAAAAAATGTGAAGTCCACCCCTGTCCACTTTCTAGTTCCTTATCTAGGGAATTTCTTTACAGTTAGACACATGACTGGCCAACTGTCATCCGTACATCTGTCATCCGTACACCCTGTACCTAAATATATTATAATTTAATTCATAAAGGAAGCACTAAAAAATCTGAAGTCCACCCCTGTCCACTTTCTAGTTACTTATCTAGGGAATTTCTCTACAGTTGGACACATGACCGACTGGTCAACTGTCATCCGTACATCTGTCAACCGCTTGTTAAAGCCGATTTTCACTAGACCCTCGCGATTAATTTAAGTGAACAAGCTTTTAAAATGATAGCAGTACAGTAAAACAATCCATTTACTTACTCTGCAATAACAAAAAGTGATAATGACGGAACCTAAATCATCTCAAACGCAAGAATGTGCCACCACAAGCACTTTAACCGTCACAGAAAGCGAACCAGCACAGGTAAATAGTTAATATACGTTACATAACCACACTTTCGCGTATCTGTTTGCAAAAATGTTTCGGGCGTGCAGTAGGCTACGTTTCAAGGCCAACTTTGGGCAAATCAGGTGCAAACATGACGGTATATCGCCCCTGGAAGGAATTAGAGTGCTAGATTTGACGAGAATAGTGGCAGGGCCGTATTGTACGATGATTTTAAGCGATTTGGGGGCAGAAGTCATCAAAATAGAGCGACCTGGTGCAGGGGATGAAGCGCGCAAATGGGGGCCGCCTTTTATAAGAAACACGCCTGAATCCTGTTATTTTATCGCGCTAAACAGAAACAAGAAGAGTATTTGTGTCGATTTAAAGTCCAAATCAGGTCAAGAGCTACTTTACGAGTTAGCCAAAGAATCTGATGTGCTAGTTGAAAATTATGTGCCTGGTAAACTAAGTGAGTTAAATCTAGGTTACGACAAACTTAAAGAAATAGCCCCACAGTTAATTTACTGCTCCATAACAGGTTATGGCCCTACAGGGCCATACAGTAAAAAACCTGGTTACGATGTTATAGCAGCTTCTGTAGGTGGTCTTCTACATATTACAGGGCCCCAAAACGGGGAACCAGTCAAAGTTGGGGTTGCTGTAACAGATTTAGCTACAGGTTTATATGCTCATGGGGCTATAATGGCAGCCTTAATTAAAAGAACGAAAACCAAATGTGGTCAAAAGATAGATTGTAATCTGTTGTCGACTCAAGTGGCTAGTTTAATAAATATCGGCTCTAATTATTTAAATGCCAATAAAGAGGCTTCCAGATGGGGGACGGCACATGAAAGTATAGTGCCTTACGAAGCATTCCCAACAAAAGATGGTTATTTTACCATTGGCACCGGTTCAGATAAACAGTTTAAAGATTTCTGTGAAAGAATAAACAAACCTGAGTTAAGTGAAAACAAAAAATTTCTAACCAACAAATTAAGAGTGAAAAATAGGGGAGAACTCTTAAAAACCCTCAGAGAATGTCTTATACAAAAAACAAACAAAGAATGGTTTAAAATTTTTGAAGGGGCTCAATTTCCCTGTGGTCCCATCAATACACTCCAAGAAACTTTCAATGATGAACATATTAAATCTATAGGGCTTGTTAAAACTATGGAGCACCCCATAGCAGGAGAAATAAAAGTTGTTGGCCCCCCTGTGGAATTCAGTGAAGGGGGTAATATTGTTAGAAACCCCCCTCCAACCCTAGGGCAACACACTGATGAAATACTAAGGGACATTTTGTGCTATAATAATGAAAAAATATTAGATTTAAGAAAAAATAATGTGATACAATAATTTTTTATTTTTATACTACTTTATATTATTTTATTTTTATATTATGTAAGATAAATAATTCCAAGATAATAATATACAGAATAAGAAGCTTTGTTTTTTACTTACAGTTAATAATTATAATATTTAGATAAGATTAACACTTGTATTACACTTTGGATCCAACAACATGTTTAATTTAATAAACTGTGCCTTATCAAAGGCAATATTAAAGTATCAAATTTATTATTACCTGCGTATTTTTAATACCTACACTAGTCTCCATAGAAATTAAAATATAATTTTATTTCACTGATAAAAATTATAAAACCCATTTAATAATAGTTTTTTTTGTTGATATTATTTTGCATTTTCATAGCATTTGTCCTAAATATTTTGGGACTAGACAATTTAAAAAATTATAAACTTTTTAGGATGTACCAACTCTAACTTTAAAATTAAGGAAACCCAGGACTGATAGAAAAGTGCAATGGAGCAATGAGACCATTGATAATGAGCATTTGAACAGGAAAAAATCAAAATGTAAACAGCAAAAAGCATTTTACACTTTGCACTTCAATTCCATTCCATTTTAGGTTGTTGTATTTACGATAAGCCCAAAAAATTCGGCGAGAGCAGCTCGTCGGAGTCTTCGGAAGACGAATGCGACCATTGCCATGGGCACGTCGAGAAGAAGAAGAAGAAACGAACCGCAAACAGCTCTGATAGCCCGCCTCGGCCGCCGGATCTACCCGATTCGAGTCCGGGTGACCAGGACGTCACCAACTCTGAAGCCGTGGCGGAGAAGATAGCCGAAGAAGAGAATAGGAACGAAGAAAGCATTCCACAGCCAGATTCGACGTCTGATAAATGATTTAAATAATGTTGCTATTTATTGGATTAATTATTCGGTGTTTATGCTGTAATCTCTAATAAGTATCTATTTAAAATATATGTATGTTAATTTTAAGTGTAAATAAATTATTTTATTTATGTATGTACCCTTTCTTCTTTAAATTTTTTTAAATAAAGCAAGTAATTTATGTATGAAAAAATCATTTTTATATACAGGGTGCACCAAGTATCTCATGTAAAGGTATTTTTATATTTGGAGTGCGTTCGAAATAAGAGTGTACTTTGGATATGGTATAAGTATAGGTATATAATCACGTGACTTTACATTATACCTAACCTCCTTGTTATTTTCGAACGCCGCGGAGCATATAACTATAAACTTTATGTTGTAGTGTTCTAAAATCAATTGGTTTTGCCTTTTATTTGACTGAATACATATAAATATTTAATTATTGAATTTCAACCCTTTAGTTATATGGATTATTCAAGTTTTTGTGATAGATTTTCTTTTGTTTTTTAGAATTTATATTTTTTAAATAATTTATTATAATAAATTCTTTTATTTTAATGTTTTTTGTTTTTGTTTTATTGAATTTTAAACAGTTATAAATAAATTATATGAAGGTAAATACAAATTATTGTTTGATGTACCCTATGCGCATGACGGGTAAAACTTAACCAAGTCTAAAGCTTGGACAACCGAGAGTGCACTCTGGGCATATAGGTACTTGCTGTTTTCGAACAGCTGACAGTTGCATATATCTAGGTATATACCAGAGAATTCGAACGCGCAAGGTAAACTTGGAGTGTATCCAGAGTGCACTCTTGCGAGTTTTCGAACGCGCTCTTGAGTTACAAGGTCAGTTAATTACAAGTCTTAAAATGGCGTAAAATTATGTTACATTTGTCCAGATCTTTGTCAGACGGTTCTAACCTCACTTCCATCTACAAGGTGTTTTAATCAGGAAAAAAAGTTCATTAAATAAACTAAATAAACTATAGTTTATAAACGTGAGACTTTTACGGGATTTCTTGTTTTAACAATGAAATCCGATGTAAATAAAAAAAATCTATTTTTTTTAAGAAAATAAACAAAAAAACGAGTTCGGAAAATTTTGTTGTGTAATACGTTTATTAAATTAAATTACACAATATTTTTTCAGGGTAGTTCTACAAAACGCATTTTGACCAGATCTCTGTCAGACGGTTCTAACCTCACTTTTATATACAGGGTGTCTCAGATTTTAATCGGTAAAAAAGTCCATTAAATAAACTTAACTTGAGACTTACGGTATTTCTTGCAAGAAAGAAAACATGTTTTAACAAAAAAATCCGATGTAATTAAAAAAAAATGATTTTTTTCATTTTTTTAAGAAAATAAACAAAAAAACGAGACGGGGAAATTCATTTAAGAAAAAATGGCAACTCTGTATAATACGTTTATTAAATTAAATTACAAATATTTTTTCAGGGTAAGTTCTACTAAACGCATTTTGTCCACTTTTGACCAGATCTCTGTTACACGGTTCTAACCTCACTTCTATAAACAGGGTGTCTCAGATTTTAATCGGGGAAAAGTAAACTAAACTTGAGACTTTTACGGGATTTCTTGTTTTAACCAAAAAATCCGATGTAAATAAAAAAAATATTTTTTTCTTTCAAGAAAATAAACAAAAAAAAACAAGTCAGGGAAATTCATTTAAGAAAAAATGGCAACTCTGTATAATACGTTTATTAAATAATTATGCAATATAAAATCTATTTTTTTTAAGAAAATAAACAAAAAAACGAGTTCGGAAAATTTTGTTGTGTAATACGTTTATTAAATTAAATTACACAATATTTTTTCAGGGTAGTTCTACAAAACGCATTTTGACCAGATCTCTGTCAGACGGTTCTAACCTCACTTTTATATACAGGGTGTCTCAGATTTTAATCGGTAAAAAAGTCCATTAAATAAACTTAACTTGAGACTTACGGTATTTCTTGCAAGAAAGAAAACATGTTTTAACAAAAAAATCCGATGTAATTAAAAAAAATGATTTTTTTCATTTTTTTAAGAAAATAAACAAAAAAACGAGACGGGGAAATTCATTTAAGAAAAAATGGCAACTCTGTATAATACGTTTATTAAATTAAATTACAAATATTTTTTCAGGGTAAGTTCTACTAAACGCATTTTGTCCACTTTTGACCAGATCTCTGTTACACGGTTCTAACCTCACTTCTATAAACAGGGTGTCTCAGATTTTAATCGGGGAAAAGTAAACTAAACTTGAGACTTTTACGGGATTTCTTGTTTTAACCAAAAAATCCGATGTAAATAAAAAAAATATTTTTTTCTTTCAAGAAAATAAACAAAAAAAAAACAAGTCAGGGAAATTCATTTAAGAAAAAATGGCAACTCTGTATAATACGTTTATTAAATAATTATGCAATATAAAATTAATTTTATTCACAATACACCAACTTTAAAAAATTACAAACAGCGTTCAAACAACATTGTTGCCAACCTAAGCAATTCAGGATCGTGAGGTTTAGGAGGTTCAACGTAGGAATCATTAATGGGCAGGTTGCATAAATGCCTTCTGATCATTAAATCCCTACGAGCAGACAGGGCCCTTCTGAAGGGCCCCACATTGGAAAATAAAGTTTTCCTGATGGCTGCTTGGTCGCGATTGGCCACTTGTATGGCAGCCAATGGATGGGAAACATTAATATCCTCGTAATCAGTGGAGTTTTCCTCGATTTTCACCTCAACGGGTTCCTGTTTTATCCCGTTAATACTTGCTTCGTTTTTCGCAAAACTTTCCTCCATTAGTTCTTTAGCTTCCGCTTCACTGTGTTGCTTGAGGATATCCTTGACGAACTCTTCGCTGGTGAAGTTCACGGAAACGCCCAGGTTGGCCAAAACGTTGTGGCTCTCCCACCTCCTTTTGGCCGACGAAGCCGGCTTCGATCTCGGCCTGGATTCGGCCACCAAGCTGGCCCAATCCACGCCCAATGCATCTCCGATACCTTTAATTCTGGACTCCTCTTCCAGCTCGTCCTCCGAGATTTCCTCAAAGTCCAAATCCAAGTTCTCCTCTAGGGATTCCTCCTTTTGCAAACGCGGAGGGGGAGACCTAGATGGCGACTGAGATTTTTGCGAGGTCGTCGACGTGTTTTGATCCTTGACGCTAGCATTATCCGTAGGTTCTGTTGGAGCGGATTCTTCAGCTACCATCTCGTTGATTTCCTTTAAATTAAATACATTAGCTCAAGTAGGCTTTATTATTGCTGTAACAGCAATAATAGGGCCTTGTTTAAAATTACACCTTAAAGCTATTTGAACTTTAATGCGCTGTCACAGCAAGCTTAAGACTTTCTTAGAACCAAAAAGGAGAATCATTTTATTGCCTTCAAGGCCTATTTTTTCATCAATAATTGCTTTAATGAGGTTGCCACAGCTTTCATAAATCTCCTCTGAGCTAAATGGCAGTTAAGTGAGCTTTATGGTGTCCTTAAACAAAGAGGTCGATAAAGCTAGTTAGCATGCAAGCAGTATTCTTTTTAAACATTCTTGATGTAGTTTATACAATATTGCTTTGGTTTAAAATAATATTAAAACCATTATCTCTCGAGTAAAGACTAATATTTTATGAAAACCGAAGTATATGGCACTAGACTGGGCCAAAAAAATCAACTTTTTTTTTTGAAAAGTATATCGAAAATTATTGTGAAAGTTTGAGTCCATAATATTAATATTAAGAGGTCTATCATCGCAATTTTAATTTTTTTTTCCTAAGTAAGTTTTTGTCTCAGAACTCCCAAACCATTTTTTTAAGAAAATTAAATGCTCTACAAAAAAGGATAAAATAAAATTTTCCTCAGATGAACCGTTTCCTTAAAATCATGCCTTAAAAATTGGTATAATTTTACATTTTGATCTTTTAACTTTGGAATGTAAAAATCAATACTCATAAAAAAAACAATAAATATTCTTATGGGAAATCAAATGCTTTACAAAAAAGCCTCTTAATATTTTTGGCTAAATTCACTCAATCAAAAGTTATTCAAGTTTAAAGTTGAAGTCAAAACGAAATTCTTGTTTTTTCCTCTGTAGATTTATTTTTTTATGGATGATAATTTGATTTTTTTCTTTATAAATGTGTATTATATAATTAATTAACAATTTCCAATAATAAAACAACATGATTGTTATTATTTAAATGATTAAATAGGTAACAGTGAAAATAATATTTTCTAAAGAAAATAGCTTCTTAAAGCAAAAAATTCTAATGTGTTATTTTTTTTTAATTTTCATAATTTTATCAATAACATAAAGATTATCATCGATAAAAGTTTTTAACTGACCCAAAAAAAAATCTATAGAGCGGAAAAAACAAGAATTTCGTTTTGACTTCAAATTTAACCTTGAATAACTTTTGATGGAGTGAATTTAGCCAAAAATGTTAAGAGACTTTTTTTGTAGAGCATTTGATTTCCCATAAGAATATCTATCGGATTTTTTCCGGGTACTGATTTTTACATGAATTACAAAATTCCAAAGTTAAAAGATCAAATTGTAAAACTATACCAATTTTTAAGGCATGATTGTAAGAAAACGGTTCATCTGACGGGAAACTCCAATCAAACCTTTTTTGTAGAGCATTCAATTTTTTTCAAAAAATATTATTAAGTCAATTTTGTTAAACTAAATGGTTTGGAGTTCTAAAACAAAAACTCGCTCAGGAAAAAAAAATCTAAAATTGCGATGATAGACCTCTTAATATTAATATTATGGATTATATCAAACTTTCACCATAATTTTTTTGCCACCCCAAACAATAATTTCGATATACTTTACAAAAAAAATAGTCGATTTTTTTGGCCCAGTCTAATATGGCACGCTGTTTTAGCATTTATTAGATAATAGTTTAAAGATTGAAGTTTTGCACTTTAATGATGTTTTAAATGAAATTTACAAAGTTAATTTTTTTAAACTCAAACAATTGATAATTAAAAAATATTTTAAATATAAAATGCAAATGTAAAAGTTTAAATTTAAAATATTGGTTTTCAAAAATTGAAGTTTTAATACAAAATTATTGGTTTAAATTTGTAGTCATTGTACCTAGGGTTGGGAAAATTTCACCTTTTCCTTGTACTTGAAATTTCACTTGAAATTTTCATGACATTTATGAAATTTATTAAAATTTTCTAAATTTCATGAAATTTATTGAAACTTTCAATAAATTTCAATCACTTTAAGTGTAATATATTAATATTGAAATAAACCCATTCAGGGACTATGGTAAATTGCCTCTCTTACCTCCTACACCTCTGCACCAATAATATAAATAGTAAATACCTATCTTTACCACACATTTCTTGGGATTTCCTTTTAAAATATTTTTAAAATTACTAAAACTAAAAGAGATATAGCACTTTTTGGTAAGCTAATGAGATTGTGCCACTTTCATTGTTTTATATTTATATATATTTATTATTTTTAAATAATTTACTAAAATTTTACGAAAATTGAAAAAACTTCATCAAAATTTTATGAGCCAAAGGCATTTTTTATCCGTTTTCCGATGCATTTATAGCAAAATTAAAAGTTTAAATTAATCATGACTTTTAAAAAAATTTTATAGTCTGATTTAATTTACAAATTAAATTGGTAACTAAATTAAATTATTTAAATTAATTTATGTATATAAGTAACAATAATTACTTATAGTGTATTCAAATCCAAGCCGAACTAAACAAAAACGCCCAGACGCTTGATAACTCGTTCTTATTGGTCGATTCGGAATCTGTTGTAAATTATTATTAAAGGTCCCAGGGGAGGCCGCATGTGAAATTTATGCGAAATTTTCAGTAAATTGCGAAACTTTCAATGAAATTTCTGAAACTTTCACAGGCAATGTTTCAAAAATTTCACTTTTCCAACTAAATGAAATATTTCCGGTTTGAAACTTTCAAAGTTGAAATTTTCATTTGAAAATTTCAACTGTCCCAACCCTAATTATACCTAATGATAGATACAAAATTGTGCACAATTTTGTCTTTTAATATACCTATGATGGATAAAAATATTTAAATGTATAAAGCTACAATTTTTATTTAGGGAAAAGTTTAAACCAATAAAATTTCAAATTAAAAAATGATTTAATAAATTTTTTTTTACTTGGGTAATAAATACCTCGGCTCTGTTGAGTATCTCGTCCGCGTCGTCGCTGATCTCGCTCAGGTCGTCCTCTAGCACCGGAGGCGCCTCCTTGACGACGCAGGGCTTCTTGGCGTCGGTGGGGCTGTCGGGGGGCTCGTCGGCCGCGCGTTTCGGCGCCGACACCGCGGCGGCGGCGGCCGCGGCCGATTCTTTCTTGGTCTCCGACGAGACCGGCTCGGCTATCGACGATTTCGAGTCGGAGTGCGGGCTGCGGGCCTCCAGTCTCGATAGGGTCGAAGGGGGCGCTGCCGCGGTCGCGTCTTTGCGCCTAGATTCCAAATTAGAGTCATCTAAAAAATTGCACGTTTGCCTGTACAAAACAACATCGAGCCTACTAACCGTTTCTACGAACGTACATGCGAGTTTTTTTTTAAATGATACGTACACGGAAAAAAATGTTTTTTGTAAGAATACCTTTATTCTTAAAAAAATTCACTTGCTTTAAGTATAATTTGCTTAGGCTACGAATACATCAAATTTCTTTTAAATATTAACCTATCCTTAAATTAAAAAGTTTTTATTTCTTAGCTTAAAATCAAGTATACTCAAAACAAGATGATTGGCCTAATATTGTCAAGGCTAACACTAACATTTAACTAAAGATTAATCTTTCTTTAAACAAGCAGATCCTATTCTTGCCTGTTAAATGAATCCTATTCTTAATTTAAGATTTGCAATCGATTATACCAAATTTTGGAAAATTCCCTCTATTCTGTTCTTAAAGATATAAAACTATACTGTATATAAATTAGGGTGTCCCAAAAAAAAAGAATATATTTTTTTTTCTTGTCTCTTGTAAAAATATGTTAGTTTATCATGCTGTAAGAGCCCTTTCAAAATATCAGCTCGATTAAAAATTTTGTAGGGGTCGCTCAAGATTTTTAAAAAATTTCAAAATCGTCAAAAATTGAATTTTTGTTTTATTTAAATTCTTTTTCTCGTCTCGATATTATTTTTTAGGTTGAAAATAATAAAAATTCTGTAAAATTCAAATCAATATTTTGATTTCTAAAGGTCGCTAAAAGTTCGTTGATATTTATATTCAGAGGTCGCTCGAAAACATTCAAAATACTCTACTTTGAAAGTTAAAAAAATCTTGAGCGACCTTTAGAAATTAAAATATCGATTTGAAATTTTCAGAATCATTATTATTTTTAAATTAAAAAATAATATCGGAACGAGAAAAAAAATTAAAATTTAAAAAAATCCAATTTTTGACGATTTTGGTAATTTTTAAAAATCTTGAGCGACCCCTAAAATTTTTTTAATGGTGCTGATCTTTTGACAGGGCTCTTAAAACATGACAAACCAACATATTTTCACAAGAGACGAGAAGAAAAAAAATATTCTTTTTTTTTGGGACACCCTAATATAAATATAATCATATTTATTCTAAGATTAGTAAATATTGGTACTACTGGCATAAAAATATCCCCCACTCACGAATGTGTCCGACATTTTGGAATATTGTTTCTTGTTTTAGCTAATATTTCGTTTAAAATTATGAAAGAGCTGCTAAATTATGGAATTTGATACAATTAACAACCAAATGTATGTGTAGGTAATAATTATTACATAATTATATTTATGTGTGTGTATTATGTATTGAATTTTAGATGTTGGACTGATATTAGGTTGGCCGAAGAATCACATAAAAACAATTATGTATATTTTACCTCTAGATTATAGGTTTTAGGTAGTAAAAAGTTTGGTTAAACATGCCAATATAGCCAAAAAATGTCCGTCTCGCAAACAAAATCAACGTGTCTGAAGGTTTAAAAAAATCATTGCAGTATATATTATTTATATATAGATAGATAGGAAAATAGGTATTTGAAACATTGTAAAAAAGTTATGTAGTAGAAGACAATGCTTTAGACCAATATATTTTTTTCAGGTTAAGTTAAGCAATAATTGTTTTAAATATTTTCTATTCTTTTTTTTAACTTTTGCTCGACTTTAAAGGTTAGGATATAATGACCATGTTTATTTTAAAAGGTAAATAGTGGATTATCCTACCTATTTTAATTTTTAGTTTTAAAAAAAAGAGAAAGCATAATCCACTCTTTACCTTTTGAAATAAACATGGTCATTATATCCTAACCTTTATTTAAAGTTGAGCAAAAGTTAAAAAAATAATAGACAATATTTGAAACAATTATTGCTTAACTTACATAAAGACACCTTATACGTATTTAATCCAAAAGTATATATTGTATCGCCATTTGTATCAAAAAATACTTATTCTTAAATTAAGCATAGTGTATATTTTATTTGAGGGTGCTTGCATTTAAAATAATATGATAGTTTTTTTGAAATAAGAATAAGTTTACCCTTGCACCTAACATTAAAATTATATCCAAATAAGTATAGGTTAGTTCTTGCATTCAACTCCCTATATCCTTCAAATAAGTATTAATTTAAATTACAAATAAGAATAAATCAATACTTAAATAAAAAGTATCTATAATTGCGGAATGGTAAGATAAACATATACTTGGACTGAGATAATTAAACTTTAATATAGAATAGCTTTTTTTCCGTGTATGATGTACATAAGAAAATATTTACACGTATAGAGTTAAACTTCTTTTGACCCATTATTTAAAAATATCAAGTAAATACATTAAATCATTTCATTAAAAATATCATAAGACAAATTAGAACATTTTAATGTTAAAGTGATATTTTTAACCTGTTGAATAAAAAATATAATAGGACAAAGTTATAAATCGAATTAAGAATTTCACAGGAGAAATTTTTTAAACTTAAAAAAAATTAAAATAATCCTTAAAAAGTAGAAAAAATCATAATTTATTACACCGTCTAACGTGATGTTCTTACATCTCGCCCCTGTTGGCTTACCAACGCAGTTTATAAGCTCAGGTACTCCTTTGTTTTGGGTGTGCTCCACTACTCCCGACACTGATGAGACCCAATATAGTCGAAACAGCTGTCTATGGGTATTTGAAGTTGGTGGAAAGCACTCAAAACAAAAAACTTTGGCGAGGTGTAGGTTTAATTCTTTCTCAAATTTTTTCAGCAGTTTCAGATTTTTAAATTCGACTACCGTCAGATCTAATCTAACCTAACTTTTAATTTTTATTACAATTGTACGTTTTATGTATTGTTTAACAAATAAAATTGTGTCTTGAAGATAAAATGTGGTATGCCATGAGGCCGAGAATAATTTAATGACGTTTTTTAATCAAACAATAAATTTTATTAATTGAATTTTTTTCTTCCATCATTTATTGTTTTTTGTACTTAAATAATTTTTTTTTAGTTTCACCAAAGAAGTATAACTTCTACATAGTGTATTAAAACTTCTGTAAAAAATTGACTTTTTCTTTTTTCTTACTACGGATACTACGGCCTTTGGGGAAAAATGCAAAAGTCAATTTTTAGTAAAATTTACCATTTTTTTCGTTTAAAATGCTGGTACTTTTAGAGATACAAAAAATTGTCTTTTTTTCGAAAAAATTGATTTTAAAGTACAAATAAAGCATTTACTTATAAATAACCTAGAAATGCTCTTTTTATTGTATTTTAATGTGTTCAGATTTAAAAAAAAATCCCAAAAAAGACAATATTTACAAGGTCTAAAGAAAAAATCTTACCATCTCTGTGTGAAGTTGAACTTCTCGGTCGAGACCTTTCACGATCTCTCCATTCTTGTGGCCACCTGTTGAATCAAATTGAAAGTAAAAACCCAAGATATAATAAATTCAGGCTAGGTCTGAACAAAATCCCTTTTAAGACCGTTTCCTGTGCAACTATTAAAAGTTAAAATATGAGTGCCTAGAAAAGTTTATAAACTATACTTTTTCTACGACATAATGATTTAAATTAAATATACGTATAAAGCGACATCTATATGAAAATAAAGTAATAATCCCAATAAACATTTTTGACGTAATTTCCACCATTAACATTGCCCGTTATTATTTTAATTAGACTTAACAATTATTGATACTTTAAAATATTAAAATAACTTCAAAATATGATTATGAAAATATTTTATCCTTTGATTTTTTTTATTACTATAATAACTACAAAATATTATCCCAAAGTATTAAAAATTCTTACATGGGAAATGTTAAAGGTACAAAAAGTTGTATTTATTGGAATTCCCGTTAGAATTTTTTACTTAAGAATCTACCGGCGTTAAAATCTCAAATTTTACTGTGTAAATCAAAATTTATCCCTTGAAAATAGACTAACAATCGATATATAAGCAGTTTTTCACAGTAAATAGAGAATGCTTTATGGGCACTGTACGTTTTAAAGGAGGGGTTAGAAAAAGTATATAAATACCTTCTTCTATCTTCATTGCTCCAATTCTCCATGCCCCCTCTCCCGTTACCGTAGTGCCCCCTCCACTCTTCCTCGGTCATATGCTTTCCGTGATCCAGATTGCTTCCCTCGCCACCCCAAGAATCGGTTGGACCTATTTTTTGTTTTTTATAAACTTAGTACCATATTATTTCGTTTTTAAATATTAAATATTTTAATACCATAATAATGTTTATATTCTATTTAAATTTGCAGCTCTGAAAGTAATTTTTTTACTTTTTTCACATATTTTTGAAAAAATAATAGAATGACTTGTCTTACCAAAAAAATTTAAAGGAAAAAGTTGTAAAAAATATAATTCTCTACTAAAAAAGTTTTTATGTTTATATCGCTAAAGGGCACAGTTTACAAGATATTTAATAGTCATGGATAGTGATGGGCGTTCCGGGTCACTCTTTTGAACCGGATCACTAGATCTGGATCACATAAGTGAACCGGTTCAACGAACCGGTTCAAAAGAACCGTTTGAATCTCAGACTAATTAAAATTAACACTTAATGAAATCATTCGGAGCACATAAACTTTAAGTTTATGTTAAAAATGTTTATCACTTTAATACTTAAGAGCTTTTATTAAATTATAAGGCAATACAAATTGTTATTTTAATAATATTATAAAGGCTATTAAATATTACATTGTATTTTATTAAAGTTTTGTTATACCATACTATTTATTTTATTAAAATTTTATAAAACAATAAAAACTCTATTATTTTAATATTTTACATGAAAAGTTATATTTAAAACATAAATGTTGTAAGTTTACACAATTTAAATTAATTAATATTAAAAATATATTTTAAACGACATTGTCATAAGGGAAATCATCTCATATTTCTGTGGGTTTGTAAAAAATTACCAAAAGTATAAATTTGCCTAACGTAGTAACGCGCCACAGAACGCAAGAAGTTCGGTTCCGAACGATGCGACCGGCATAGGGACTAGCGAGCTGCATGATCGAGCCGCGCCTAGAGAATCGAGATGTTTTGGTCAGATCTGGATCACAGAAAACAAAACGTACTGCGAGCGCGAGTCGTTCTTAGCTCCAGGGAGCCGCTTCAGATCTCTCGCGACCCGCCGCTCACGGCTCGAGCGGCTCGCCATACGCGGCCTGTTCAATGCACTGCAGCAGCATAGCGAGTCACTCGCTGCGAGTGGTGAAGCAGTGAATCGGAGCTTAGAACGGCTTGCGCGCGGCCGCTTTGTAATTTCGGACCCGTGAGCCGGTTCGTTTAATTTTCGTGAACCGGTTCACGTAGATCACTTATAAGACCCGGTTCACTGAGCCGGTTCAGATCTGACCGACACATCTCTAGTCATGGAATCGAAATTAAGACAAATTAATCTCAAGAAAACACAAATTTTTCAAATTTTTAAATATTGAACTGCTCATATCTTAAGCGATATATTTTTTGTAGAGAATTCAATTTTCTACAACTTTTTCCTTTAAAATTTTTCTTAATATTTTCAAAAACACTGATACTATCAAGGTGAATCAAGTTAGAGAAAAATTCTTTTAAAAAGCGTTAAATACCCTGTAAGTAACAATGAACCACAATATAATAGCTTAAAACCCGGGAAAGATATAGAAATTTAAAAAAAGTGAATAAAAATACATGCTTTTTAAATGAAAAATTTTGGAGTTTCGGTGTAAAACAAAAAATAGTCGTTTTAATTAAAACATCCTACTGTATACTGTTTGTAGGTAGTAAGGTTTAAACGATATATTAATTTTATCACTTTTACCTCTGGAATCGTAGTCCATCGGCCGTCGCCCCATTCGGTCCCAATCGCCGTGCTGATCGGGATATTCCGGGTCACCCCATTCGCGACCCTTCAGGGACCCCGAACGCGATTCGTCGCCCCTTGCGTACCGCCTGTTGTGATCCAAATCCCTATTAAATTAACTTTTAATCTGCGGTTTTATTAAATTACAGATTTTATTTAGGAATTTAGGAGGTTTTTTTGGAGAATTTTAGGAGAAATAAAGTATGCAAATGAATTATTTAATTAAATAAAAACAACTCTACACTGTAAAAAAAATAGGAAAAAATAAATAATTTTTTTTAACAAAAATTTAATAAACTAGAACCTAAAAATAAATATTTTTTAAATTACTTTTTAAAAAAGATTTTTTTTAGCATGACAACTAATTTATTTAAATGCAGTCAAGTTGGCCTACTCATATTTAATTTTTAGGAGATTTATGTTAATTTTAGGAGTTTTAGGAGATTTAAGCCAAATTTTGGGAATTTTATGAGTTTTAGGAGTTGTGAGAGCCCTGTAATTTTCTTACCTGTCAAGTTCTCTGTCATCCCACAATTCCCGTCTACCTCTTCTGTCATCCATATATTCCCTAGTTTCAATATTAATCCTTTCATCTCTGGCATTATCATTGTAATGCTCTTCTAAATCCATATATCTTCAAAAGTATACAATGTTTGTAAAATTGTTAAAAAAAAAATATAATATTAATATAGCCCGGAAATTATAGCAAAACTTATTTTTATAAGCACCTTCTATCGTCGATACGATTTCTATCATATGGGGAATCGTAATCTTTGTCATCCAACCTCCTGTCATTTTCCCTAAGCCTCGAGGGAATATTCCCGTACTCCCTGTCATGATCCCTGTCGTAGCCGCGATCGTACGAACTAAAAAATATCAAATTCACCAAAAATTTTGCACTACCTATCATTTTAAAATCGTTTTTTACCGATCGTATCCTCTATCCTTGTCGATGTCTCTATCGTGCCTGTCCGGAGTTTTCCGGGAACCCCTATCGGGAGTTCTATCTCTTCTATCCCCTCCTCCTCTTCTTTCGCTTCTGTCTCTTTCAAGAGAATGACCCTTACGACTTGGAGGTACCCGGTCTTCGGGCAGAGGCAACAGTCTTTCAATACGATCGCCTAAATTAACAAAAGTTATTGTAATAAACCATTTTTAAGAAATGGTAAATTAAAAAAAACGTAAACTTTTTCAAATTTGTTGCGTACGACACATGTACATTAGACTGGGCCAAAAAAATCGAATATTTTTTTTGTAAAGTATATCGAAAATATTGTTAAGGGTGACAAAAAAAATTATTGTGAATGTTTGAGTCCATTATATAAATATTTTCGGAGCAAGTTTTTGTCGCAACTTCCAAACCATTGAGTTTAAATTAACTTAAAAATATTTTTACATGAATTACAAAATTCCAAAGTTAAAAGATAAAATTGTCAAACTATACCAATTAAGGCATGATTGTAAGGAATTTAGGCATGATTGTAAGGAAACGGGTCATCTGACGGGAAATTTCCAATCAGACCTTTTTTGTAGAGCATTCAATTTTCTTCATATTCTTCATATTTCTAAGTCAATTTTGTTAAACTTAATGGTTTGGGAGTTCTAAAAGAAAAACTCGCTCAGGAAAAAAAATCTAAAATTTCGATGATAGACCTCTTAATATTAAAATTATGGACTCAAACTTTCACAATAGTTTTTTTTTCACCCCAAACAATATTTTCGATATACTTTACAAAAAAAAATAGTCGATTTTTTTGGCCCAGTCTAGTAAAGGATTTATTTTAAAAACAATTAAATAGCAGTCGTTTTTTCAGAGGTTTTATATACACAGATTATCTGTAACAGATATATAAATAAAAAAATAATTTAGGTTAATATTTTTGTTTGTTTTGTAGCTTGTATTTGTTCCATTTACTTCGAAGATAGTTGCTATAAGAAGGAAAATGGGATTGAAAAAACATACCAACTACATTCCCATAAAAAGTCTTTAAAAGTGGATACAGTTCCAACTTTACACTTAACAGCTGATCTATCAAAAGATAAATCAAGTACTTTGTAAAAAATTAAAATAAAATTGGAAAAAACAATATAAATCATAGATCTTTTTACAGGGTACAAAAAATAGGACAAAACCAGGAAGCATAATAATATTATGATCTTTGAAAACAAAAACTCAAACTCTGAGAAATCAAGTATAAAATAAAATTTGAAAAATAAAACTAATCAATCAACAGTCCATAGCAGAAATTCAAACTGTAGCATTAGCATTAGAAAACCGGCTTACTTGTCAAATATGGCGAGTTGGGTTATAAAAAATAAAGTGCCGTAGATGTAAACCAGTCGTCTAAGGCTGTACGCTTTTTATTTGCATACGACTGTACCATACCATAATGTAATATTTTTCACAAGTTTAGTTTGTTTTATTCAATGTTGGTGGCCAATTTAGAGTTTTTATTTGGCAACCTTAATTTCAATTATTTGTAAATACAATTTTGTGATAAATAAATTTTTAAAAAAATTGTTTTTCTTGCTATGTTAATGTTGTAACTTGACACTTTTCATTTCATTCTTTATATTTGCTTTAAAAAAGGACATTTTATTTTATTGAAAATATTTGACTTATAAATGGCTTTAAAACAAGATATTTTATTTGAAAACCAATTATTTAAAACATTTAACCTAAAACCTAAACTTAATTTTTATATATTTTATTTGGTATTTAGTGAATATTATATATATTTAATTTGATTGAAAACCCATATAAAGTAGTTTTTTTCAAAAAAAATACCTTGTTTTGTGTACAAGCCATGTTTACACATCCTTCGCGAAAACAATGGCATTCAATTATTCAACAATTACCCACAACCTCTTTGAATTCTTAAATTAAGTAAAGACAGATGTTACTTGCTTTTCGTACCTGAAGGTTTGTCCAGTCCGCGATCCTCCCCCCTGCGGGTCCTCTCCCTGCCCCTGCTCCTCTCCAGCTCCTCCTTCTTGGCCAGCTCCTTGAGGCGCTCGCGTTCGCGCTGTCGCTCCTGGCAGCGGGCCAAGGCCTCCTCGCGCTCCTTCTCGCGGGCCGCTTCGCGCTCCTCTCTCGCCAGGCGGCGCTCGCGGTCGCGGTCGCGCTCCTTGTCTCGCGAGTCGCGCTTCTCTTTGCCGCGCGACGAAACGGACTTGCCGTCGCCGGCGCGATCCTTCGTCCTCGACCTGAACGAGAACAAAGGTCTGCGTTAAATCCAAGACCTTTTTTTTTTCTTTTTCGTTTCAAACGTTTCAATTAAGTATTAAGAATAGGTGCTATGATTAGAAACGTAAATATTTGGAGAAAGCATGAAAAAATACTAGTACTAATAAAAGCTTTCTTTTTTGTTTTTTTTTTAAATGCGCTACAATAAAGTATATTGTCAATAAATATCATCTCCAATATGAAATTTTTAGCAAAATGTATATTAATAACAAAGTAAAATTTACTGTATAAACTGTATTATTAACTGTATTACATTTTCCATTAAAGAAAATTTTAAATGAGACCAAAAAAATTGATTTCTTAGTATTTGGTAGTTTCCACATAAGAAACCAATAACAATGTAAAACATGAAAAAAAAAACCGTTTTTTTTTTAAATGCGCTACAATAAAGCATATCCTGTCAATAAATAACATCAATTTTAATAAAAAATGAGTATTCTTCAAAATGAAATTTTTAGCAAAACTTTAACAGATCAAATAATTTGATTTCTTATTTTTTGGTAGTTTCCAAATAACAATGTAAAACATGAAAAAAAAATAAAAAAAAAAACGTTTTTTTTGTTTTTTCAAATGCGTTACAATAAATAACATCAATTTTATTAGAAAAAAAAACAAAAGCCAAATCGCTCGACGAGTTTTTTTGAATTATATTAAAAGAAGGTTAAATTACTACTTTTGTATATATCTGAGGTATACACACAAGTAGAAATTTTACTTACACTTTTAATTTTATTTAAAAAAACGCGTCGATAGATTTGGCTAAAAAACTACGCCAAAGTCGAATGATGTTATATTTATATTTTGAGAAAAAAAATGTTACCCGTTTAGTTAATAACGAGGTTAATAACTAACAATAATTGTAATGTGGATCTTGATATTCGAAAATCTCATAATGGAAAAATATGTATGTAGTTTGCTTTATACAGCAAAATATTCTTTAGATTGTTTACTATTTTATCTATCATTTAAAAGATAAAAAATTCTTTTGTTTTATATACAACACGGTATATTTTTGTCGAAAACAAACGAAATATGGCTAAAAATGACAATTTTGTATTTTATTGTTTTTTTTTAAATGTAGGTTGTGATATATTATTTTGAAATAAACTAGAACCTAAAAATATATATTTTTTAAATTAAGAATTTTTTTAGCACAACTACCTAGGTACCTTAATTAAAAAATTATGGAAACCAAAAATAAAGCAACAGAAAACGTGCAGTATGTTGAATGCAGCGAAAATCTCGAAAGGAGCAGAAAACAAAGATAACAAACATAGAAAGTAAGATTGTCTAATTATTAAAAAAATAACTTATAATAAATAACAATGGGTCAGAATTTCTCAAACGGGCCACCTGAATTAGGTCAAAATTAGTTTTTGTTTGTAGATACATTTTTTTGATAGTATTTTACATCACTAACACAAATCCTAAAGGATTTTGTAAAAAAAAATTTTTCAATTGATATATTCATGATATTAAAAGTCAAAGTTTTTAATAATTAAAAAATAAAAAAATTCATTATGGCTGAACTAATTATCCGATTCCAACGATATAACTAGCGTTGGAATCTTGTTTTGACATAGATTCTTTGTTATTTTTTTCAATTGTCCTATTTTCATTTAGGTCGATTTTTTTTTGTTTTTTTTATACCAAATTCGGAAATAATTGCCTTCTGCGCCAGCTATCGACTCTAGAAAAAAAACACATATACTCCAATCATTTCTCGAAATTATGCTGCTGAGAAAAAAAATGGCCCGCAGGTTGACAAAAAGTTATTCGTCCTTTTGTGTCAGCTCACGCTCCGAACCGTGTACGCTGTACGCGCTTGTGACGCGACGTCTTACGGTGGTCTGGAACCTGCGGGCCATTTTTTTTCTCAGCAGCATAATTTCGAAAAATGATTGGAGTATATGTGTTTTTTTTTTCGAGTCGATAGCTGGCGCAGAAGCCAATTATTTCCGAATTTGTTATAAAAAAAACAAAAAAAAATCGACCTAAATGAAAATTTTACAATTGAAAAAAATAACAAAGAATCTATGTCAAAACAAGATTCCAACGCTAGTTAAATCGTTGGAATCGGATAATTAGTTTAGCCATAATGATTTTTTTTTATTTTTTAATTACTAAAAACTTTTACTTTTAATATCATGAATATGTCAATTGAAAATTTTTTTTTTACAAAATCCTTTAGGATTTGTGTTAGTGATGTAAAATACTATCGAAAAAATGTATCTACAATCAAAAACTAATTTTGACCTAATTCAGGTGGCCCGTTTGAGAAATTCTGACCCCAATAAAATTGTGTTTTTTTTATAATTTACTAAAAATTATGATGGTAATCAAATAAATTAAACCAAATATCCCTAGATAATCACTTGTTTGTAATCCAGTGTTGCCGGATCTTCTAGACGAAAATTACAGATTGATAATATTGATTTTTAAAGTCACATTAAAAGACATGCAGTTATTAAATAAATGTGCTGAAGTTGGCTTTAGATTAAAATTGGGAAAAAGTGAGGTTAAAACCGTTTGACAGATTCAGATTAGAAAAAGTTAGGTTAAAAAGTATATTAACAATTTAAAGACAATATTAAAAACGTTTTAAGGCAATTTATTTATTTTAAGTATAGATCTCTAAAAAAACATTTAAATAATATGACTTTTGTGCAATCACTAATTTTGAAACTTACATTATTTTGCCAAAATGCCAACATTTCAAATTAAAAATACTTACAAAATGCACCGACATTTGTTATTCCATTCCTTTGAAAAATTATTAAAAAAGTATTATAGGAAATGTGACAGTTTCATAATTTATGAATCATAAATAAATAAATACAATTTAATATTTACCCATTTTCCTCCATTTTTCACATTTCAACTTTATAAATTTATATAAAATCCCAAGGTGTACAGAAACACCTGTTAAAAATATCTGCTTCTATAAGCACACCAATGAATGTTGCCAAACATACTAGCAAAGTATTTAAAATTACTTACAAAATAATTTAATTTAATAACAGTTTTTTAATAATGCTTTTTGTATGTTATGTTGATGTTTTTATTTTTGTTGTGTCAACTAAAAACTGTAATGTTATGGCATGGAAGGGAAATAATTTAAAATTTGGCAACAATGTTTTTGGCAAAAAATTTCAAACAATGATTTGTTGTTTATAAATTATGACAAAAAAGTTGTATACAAGATATGTACCTGGTTAATTTAAAATTGTTGGTTTATAATTTTTAAACAATGCTTTTTTTATGTTAAGTGTTATAAGAGTAAGAATGTTTTATATGTAATAGGATCAAAGAAAGTTAACGAAAAAGCTCTTAATAAAATATGAAGTTTAACTAAAAAATATTAATTTTAAAAATAATTATTTCACCTGTCTCTATCATCCCTTTTGTCACTCCTTCTTTCATCCTTCAAGGAAGGACTCTTATGATTTTCCTTTCTGCTACTGCTACTTTTAGGTCTTCCAGGAGAATTTTTTCTATCCCTGGAATGTGTAGAATCTGGACTGTCTCTTTTCTTAGAGTCTTTAACACTCCTACTATCTCTCTTAGGAGACCTAGAATCTTTCTTCTTATGATCCTTATCCTTTTCTCGCTCCTTAGCTCTCTCTCTAGCCTTTTCTTTCTCCCTTTCACGCTCTTTTTCCCTCTCGCGTTCTTTTTCACGCTCTTTCTCCCTCTCACGCTCTTTTTCGCGTTCCTTTTCTCTCTCACGTTCCCTCTCCTTTTCCCTTTCCTTCTCTTTATCTCTCTCTTTGTCCTTGGAAGGTTTAGGAGACGGGGTGCGATGTTTCTCCTTACGATCACTGCTTCTACTCACAGGTCGAGGGGATTTGTTTTCTTTAACGGCAAGTTTTGAGGGTTTAATTGGGGGCGTTTGCGAACGTTTTCTACTGGGCGTTGGGGATTTTGTCACCACTTTAACAGGGGGTTTAATTTTTTTTGTTTTCTCCCGCGTTGAAGATTTAGACGACGCTTTTTTCTTGTGTTTTTTAAGCCGTTCTTCGGATGACGACGAACTATTGCGCTTGCCTTTAGTTTTTTTGGTCTTCTTGCGTTTTTGCTCCACTGAAGATGAGCTTGAAGAACTTGAATCATCACTTGTGTCACTTGAACTACTCGAACTACTGGAAGTTTCAGTGGAAGGCGAACTCTCCTTCTTCACTTTCTTGTCTTTTTTCCTCGCTTTATTCTCCATCTTCATTTGCAACTCTAACTCTCTCTGTAACTCTTGTCGTCGTTTCTCTAGATCATCGGGATCGGCGTCCTCTAGTTCGTCTGGGTCCCACTGATCGTAGTCACCTTCTTCTCCTGGGTGTAGCCTTTTGAAGGCATCCTTTGTTAGCCTTCTTTTAGGGTCCTGCGACCCCTTTTGCGCCCTTTGCTTAGAGGGACTCACCAATATATGTGTGGCCGAGTATTTACAGCCTTTACCAAATGGACACGATCCGCTTTGAGCCCAATGGTGGCAATACTCTTTAGTATTGCTGGAAGAACTCGCTTTGGTGCCTAAACGTTCGAAAACGCTCGGTCTTGACTTCGGTAATGCTTTACTTTTTGGAGTAAGGTTCACCGTTATTTTGCGCTTCACCTTAGACATTTTCACTTCTAGTTCTTGTGATTTTTGCGAATAAATGCGGTAACCAAACACTTGAGCCTACCATATTTACGGAATCTTTTTTATTTTTGACGACTGTCGGCTATGGCTCGTCAACTCGATGGTAACGCACGCATATTTTTAAATCAACACCAGAGGGCGCCCCACTTTTAATCAAATACGAAAAATAACAATTTAACGGCCTTTTTCAGTTGATTTATGAACCAATTTATTGTATTTTTTATTATTTTAGCGAATGGGGCATCAAAAAACGCAGTTTTTGCTTTAAATTCGCATGAACACTAAATATGAATAACTTGGTGTATTGGATCTACAGAACAATGTATCTACTACGATAATAAATACAAATAAATAAATTTAATTTTAGGATTTCATCAAAATTGAATGAAACTTATAAATCAAATTGACTTCTTAATATTTGCAAAAGCCACTTTCATCAACAGTGGTTTATTATCTATGATGTAAGGCCTTCAACAGGAGTACCAATTTTAATTATTACACACTGTACCAACATTATTTAAAAACAGGGACTCGGACCGAAACCGAAAAAAAACCGAAAAGCGGAACGGAACCGGTTTTTTTTTTCCGAACCGAAACCCGAACCGGAACCGTTTTCGCTTTTGATAAAATCTGTTGGACCGGAACCGAAACCTTTATTTGCTTTCATTCTAATAACATTATATAACATATATATATGTGAGGTTATAGATAAAAATTACGTAAAACAAATAACCTCACTGGACCGCTTAAAACCGAAAAGAACCGAACCGTTATAACTCCACGAAACCGAAACCGGAATCGGAACCATTAAAACGAAAATAGGGTGAACCAAAACCGTACCGGAACCGATATTTCATTTCGGTCCGGGTCCCTGTTTAAAAACTAGTATTTTTAATATACCTAGGAGTTATACTGCCCTACTATGGAGAAAGGCAGTAACTGCAAAAAAATGGAAGATGCGTTTTCTTGTGCTATGGTAAAGCTATGGACATTTTGTAACCGAATTTAAAACAGAAATGCAGTCAAATATCTCATAAGTTAAAAAAATCAATTAAATACCTACTGCTTTTTATAAAAATGTAGTTTATGCTAATTTTACACAAATTGCTTGTTTAGCAGTTACTGCCTTTCTCCATAGTAGGGCAGTATAGGTATATGGTATTTTTTCATTCTAGTTGTTCCCAGAGATAAAGAAGGTAGTTCCAATGTTGTATAATAAATTAAGGTGCGAATTTCAAATGTGGGAATTATTATTACTTATTATTATAAAAAAAAGATGAAAATTAATTTAGTTTGTGCGGGAAATTCAAAATTTCAGTGTAGCTAACGTAATATAATTGAATGTTCCCAATGGGGAATTTTATTTTTTTACCATTGGCAACATCGACCGCATTCCTTGCATATGGTCAGCCTAAAAAATTTGGACTGGACAGTGACATCCTTTTTCTATGGTGACAAAAATAAAAAGCAAACCATATTGTTACAGGGGGATCCAACAAAATATCAAGCAATACTTGGACAAAAAAAAATGTTTGCTGTCTAACCCCACTTTTCATGAAAAGAATATATATATAGATTTCATGAAAAGAAGATATAAATTTGATAGTTTGACGAGCAAAATAAAGTTATTCCCCTAGGGTTATTCCGAATTCAATATGGTTACAAATAATAATCCAAAATGCATAGATTAGGACACTATACTTTAGTGACTATAGTATGTATAAATATTATTTACTTATTAAATAAATAAAAAGCACAAGATAATATCTTCTCCTTCTTTGCTGTCTAACCCAACTTTTTAAGAAAAATCTTAAAATTTGTATTTGTCAAAGTGACAGATATTGTCTAACCTTAATTTAACTTAACCCAGCAAACACATAAGTCTGGTAATGTAATGGCCCATTACAGCGTTTAATGGTTAAATACTCTTTTGTAAAAAATAAACCTTATTCTATCAAGGCTGTCATCAAACTGTCAAATGTCAATTTTAAGGTTATTTTATGACCCACAAATTAACCTTCAAATTGACAATTGACAGCCCTGATAAAATAAGGTTATAGTAAAATTATTGTTCTTACCACTTTAAGGCCTCATTTGAGGCTTACAAGTGCCTCTATTAGAAACACGTTTAAAACGATTATTAATCTGTACAAACCCAAAGCACAAGAATTGTAAACAACAAAAATGGCCGCCATTAAATGATGTGCAGTGTTGCAGTGATATTTAGTATTTTGAGTACCTGATACATTTTTTTGGTACTTTAGCTTAACTATTTTTTTTTAATAAAATCTAGTTTTAAAGATTTTTTTTATTCGACTTTAATATGAAAATAATGTAAAAATAAAGGCAAAAATGGTAAATAAATAAAATGGTGTTAATGGTTCTAATAAATTTTATTACCTAACAAGGACAGTTTGCAAAAAGTTCACAAAACAATAACAAACAAAGGAATGGATGTCTGTGTATTTCATAGTCCATAATCACAATGACAAATGAGCTACAATGAGAAAAAATACAATAAAACATGGAACTAAATAGTGACTACAATAAAATGCAGATTTATCATATCAATCATGTACAAAAACTTTAACAAGATGAGTACATAATAAAAAACGTGAATTTTAACAATTATAATTTATTTTGTTTTTGGTACCTTAAACACTAGATCATTAAATACAATGAAGGCGAAAAGCAAATATTGTAGTTTTTCAGTCAATAAAATACTTCAACGTTTGCTACAAATCTGCAAAATACTCTCAAACCTTGACTAGTCTGATGACACGATATTCGTAATTTATTTTATTTGCTGATCTTGTTTACCACATATGCGTTTCTCTTATTTCGCTAATAATATGTGCTGCCCTCTGCAACGCCTAAAATAATTGGAATCGTAAAATAAAATCTACCGTAAAAAGATTTTCTGCTTACTTTTAACATATCTGCTGCTTCCTTGCGTCTCTGAGCAATATGTTCTGACTCATCCAAAAGTTGGTCAGCATTGTCAGCTTTATAAAGGTGCGTTACGAGCTCTGACTGTAAATTATCCTTGACATAATTCACGAGGAAATGCATCACTGCCTTTGGTACGGTGTCCTGTATGGACTTCCGCACAATGTAGAAGTAGGACTTAATCAGTCTCTCTGTAAAATGTAAAACATGTTTTTAATTTTTTTTCCTCATTTCAATGAAAATGGGAGACTATTTACATTTTGATGTGTTTTTAAGCTATTTTAAAGTTTTCTGAGTGTAAAAAATGTCTATCTGCCAAGCGAAAATCTTTAAATACAATGCCAAAAGAAAAAAACCTGCATATCCAATAAATTTCCTTAGTATGGGCTTGAAAAAATTGATGTTAAGGATAGTAAGTAGATTTATTTAAAAAACAATTAAATAGCCGTCGTTTTTTCAGAGGTACTTTCCTTTTGTATACACAGATTATTTGTGACGGATATATAAATAAAAAAATAATTTAGGGTGATATTTTTGTTTGTTTTGTAGTTTATATTTGGTTCCATTTACTTCAAAGATAGTAGGAATATGAAGGAAAATTGGATTGAAAAAACATACAAACTACATTCTCATAAAAAAGTCTTTAAAAGTGGATACAGTTCTAACTTTACACTTAACATCTGATCTATTAGAAGAGAAATCAAGTACTTTGTAGGAAATTAAAATAAAATTAAAAAAAAAACAATATAAATCTTAGTTCTTTTTATAGTGTACAAGAAATAGGACAAAACCAGGAAGCATAATATAACCTTTAAAGACAGAAACTCAAAGTAATAAAGTATAAAATAAAATTTAAAAAACAAAATAAATCTTTCTTTTTGCATTGTGCAGGAAATGTGCCAAGACAAGGACGTTAATGATCTTCAAGGACAGACCATAACAGAAACTCAATCTGTAGCATGCTGCTGATAATGAAATGGCCCGGGATTGAGACATCCCAAAAGCATTAGAAAACCAGCTTATACCATAATTTAGGGTTTTTATTTGGCAACTAATAAACCTAAATTGCAATTATTTGTAAATAGAATTTTGTAATAAATAAATTTAGAAAAAAATTTGTTTACATTTTTCTGAAAATGTTAATGTAAGTTGACAGTTTTCATTTTATTCTTTATATTTGACTTGGCATGGCTTTAAAACAAGATATTTTATTTGAAAACCCATTATTTAAAACATTTAACCTAAGAACTAAAATTATTTTTTTCTTAGCAATTTTTCATATATTTTGTTTGGTATTAAGTAAATATTATTTACTTTAAAACAATATATTTTGATTTGATTGATAAACCATATAAAATAGTTTGTTTACATTAATAATATTTTCTTGTTAAATGTTAATATTGTGACTTGGATAGTTTTTTAGGTGTGATCTTCAAATTATTCGACAATTTATTCTAAAAATCGAATAATTTGATAGAAATTTGGATGAATTTCATAAAAATTTAAAATATCATTCTAAACTAAAATGGCGGTAACTGGGTGGTGGGAAAAGTGAACCAAAATTTCCTACTAAAGACTACGATACACAAAAACCGGTATGTTGATGCGCATTTTATAGCTATCTCGTGTGAGGTCATGTGCGAACCAAAAGCTGGCTAGTAACTGGCTTGGAATATTATTTGCACTGCGAATTCACGTTATATTAGAAAATTCATAAATATATGGACGGCCTGGGTACAATTATTAAGTGTTACAAATGTTAAGAGAAAGTTAAATTGGCAGCAGGCGCTTTTAATACTAATGTTACATTATTAATTAATTTCCTACATTCCTGTTAATATTTTTTACATATTTTTTGTTTAATTGATTTAACTTAACTTACGCTACACCAAATTTAAAATTTTTTTAATGTGAAATGTAACAAAATCATAAAAATGAATTTATACAGGTAATAATAACGCACGCTCGCTTTAAAGTGTCAAAAGTAAAAAAAATCCCAAAACTGCTTTTTTACTTGTGACAGTTTTGAAGCGGGTTCCGATACAATTGTGTTTTAATTTTTATTATTAGTAAGAACTTAAACAAGCTGTACAAAATATGTGGTTAGGTTGAAAAGTTACTATAAGTACATTTTATCCTTTCTCTTGCATCCACTGTGCTGCCAGATCTTTATTTTTTGGAAATATTCAATGTTAGGTTAGGTTGGGTGTTGGAGTTTACGTTCATAGTTATCAAGCCCAACTAACGCAAACTTAATAAATATCCTGGATAAAACACTCGTGAGTGGCTTATAAATACCTTGTAAATAGTTATTGCTGTTCAATAAATGCAGTACGAAAAACGTTGCAAAGCCATCGTGCGTGGCTTATGACTTATGAAAAACACAATAATTTCGGGAAAAACTCAAAAGAAATCGTGATAAAACACCCGTGCATAGCGCATGCAGGTGCAAAACCATAGAAAAAGGATATAAGAAGTGCGCCCTCTGTGTTAAACGAGGGAAACACGTCTATCATGACTCCCCCTAGTTGATGGGCCGGACTCAGCTCATATTGATTTTGACATACCAGGGCCGGCTTTTAAATTTTTATTATTTTATTTTAATAATTTTTAATTTTATTAAAAAAAAAACAAAATAGTGAAACATTTGTTTATTTACAATAAAAATCCTAATGCATTATGTGAAAAAATACGATTTTTAAAATATTCTGTGACTAAAAGTGTACAAACTATATACAATGATTACAATTGTAGAAAAAGGCTATATCATATTTTGTTTTTATAAATTTGAATATTGTACATTCCTAAAAATTGTCAAATATCAACATAAAATGTATCAGTCCTAAAAATCTTACAAAAAAAGAGTTAGTACAGGATCTAGTGGAATTAAAAACAAATTTAAGAATAAAAATACTACCCCATAAAAATTTTAAACAAAAAACTAATATTCTTAACTAAATAATATTATATGCATTATATATGTATATATTTTAAGTAAAAGTATGTATTTACAAAAATATAATGACAATAATATTATTTCCTTGCAAAAATATCTTTTATTAAGATATTAAAAAATAATGCATTACAAAAATTCAATTCAATTCAATTTTGGAATTTTTATCATAGAAAACGTTGTATAATTTAAAGCCTATTCAATTTGATTGATTATAGTTTGTAGTTCACAGGAGTTAACTACTGAACAACATCTTGCAAAAGTATCTTCTTTCTTCAAATAAAGATTCTGTATACATGCTATAGCATGCAGTTTTTATTTACAAAAGTTACTATGCAACTTGAATACCAATGTTTTTCAATAGTAGATTGGGTCCCATTTGAAGTTATTAGCTTGGATTTATAAGAGTTGATTTGTATTGTAGATTGTTTATGTTCTCAGATTGGTTTACAGCAGATTTCATATTCCCACTTTAATTGTAGTTTGTATTGCAATTATGTAATTAAGATTTATGTTCTTAGGTTGGTTTTCCATATTTTCCTGATTCCAACTTTATTCAAAGATTTTGTTGAATTCATGCATGAATGTAAGTATGGTTTATGTTCTCAGGTTGGTGTCCCATGGCTTCCAACTTCGTTTTAAAACTATATGTCCTGGACCCAAAATATCATAAAACTTGAAATCACCAACCTTCTTTCAAGTAAAACTAAAAAAATATCATTATCATTAGTAAAATTTTAATATTAATAACAATAGTCATAATAAAAATATTACCCAATGCTAAATTTAATTCAAAATGTTTTTTCAAAGATTTTACAAAAATGCACCAGCATTTTACTTATTTACTTAAAGCAGAACTAACTACCTATTCTTTGTCCTTAGTCATGAAAATCAACATAGTTAAAATAGTTCTGCTTTAAGAAAATACATATTCTGTACAAGTACATAATGTAAATTAGGTACATTTATTAGATATAAAGGTTATAAAAGCCTTTTAATATGTAGGTAGATCTTTACAAAGTAGATTTAAAATGAAATTGAATATTATTAAAATATAATAATTAGTAAAACTTGGCTAATAATTTATTTATAATTTATTATTAATAAACTTATAATACCCATTTAATTTAACTAGACCTACATACAAACAAAAAACCTATAGGTACTATATTTAAAACTTGTCGGTTTTTTAGCCAAGCAGTTTAATTCGTCTTATTTTAAAAGTTATACCTACATACAAACATACATACCTGTATACCTACATTTAAACAAAATACTTACGTTTTCAAACTACATACATATATAACATAATATGTTATATATTATATGAAATATCAAACCCATAAGGCATAAAACTTGGAAACAATATACTTTTTCTATGAAGAAAATGTACCATAAAATTGCACAAATCCTACTTAATAATAATAAACAGAACTTGCTTTGACAGTTAAACAATTATTGGTTTTACGACGTTGCCGAAGGTGGTACGTTTTGTTTTAATTACAGGTTACTGTAATCTGTGCACGAACTGGCAACGCATCGTGGGGGAGTCATGTTTCCAATTCCCCCGCTTATGTTTCACCCCCCTGTGCAAAACTGTTTGCAACATTTGAATCTGGTTCGCACGTGACGTCGCATGCGCGGAGTCGACGAGTTTTCGTTTCATAACCAGCGTAGCGGTTTTTGCGTATCGTGAAGACCTACCTATGATCTCGCAGTCGTGCTCCTCGTGCTCCGACAGCTTTCTGTAGCTGTTGCTGTTGATGGGCACCTGCGGTAAGAGGTTGACAGGCTTTACAGGGCTGAGAACCGACCTTAAATCGCCGTCAGCCTTGACGCTATCAGTGACGTTGTTAACCACGTGGTTGTTCATTTCTTGCGGATCGATTCCGTTCTGTGAAGAAGTCAAATTTGAAACCCAAGAGGTCGCGTCGTCGCCGTTATTTAACTGAGGGTTACTGTTCGAGCGCGACTAGAACAAACCGAAGTCCATTTTAGATCGTTTGTTTGTGAGAATTCGAGTTTAGAGTTTAAGTGGCGTAAGTTTAAGCAGAATTTCACAGGGCTCCCACAGCTAAATTTTTATTTAGGAATTTAGGAGGTTTTTTGGGAATTTTAGTAGAAATAAAATATGCAAATGAATTTATGTCATTAAATAAACACTGCACTTAAAAAATAAATAATTCTTTTTAACAAAAATATAAATGAATATCAATTCTTTTGTACAAATAAGTTACATTGACTGGTTTTTTAGCCAAATCGCTCGACGAGTTTTTTTTGAATAAAATTAAAAGAGGTAAAATTACTACTTTTGTATATATCTGAGGTATATACACAAGTAGAAATTTTTTATTTTATTTAAAAAAACGCGTCGATAGATATGGCTAAAAAACTAGGCCAAAGTTAAATTTTAACCGTTTAGTTAATAACTAACAATAATTGTAATGTGGATCTTGATACTCAAAAAATATCATAATAGAAAAAATATAAAGTTTGCTTTAGATTGTTTACTATTTTAGCTAAAATTAAAAAAAATCCTTTTGTTTCATATAGAACACGGTATATTTTTGTCGAAAACAAACGAAATATGGCTAAAAATGACAATTTTGTAGAAGTCTAGAAGCTACTTTTAGGTAAATTTTGTTGTTTTTAAGAAAAATGTAGGTTGTGATATATCATTTTATCATCATTATCATTTATTATTTTATTATTTTAACTGAAACCTAAAAATATATATTTTTTAAATTACTTTTTAAAAAAGAAATTTTTTAGCACAACTAACTTAATTAAACGCAGTCAGGTTGGCCTATTTATTTTTAATTTTTAGGAGTTTTAGGAGATTGATATCAATTTTAGGAGTTTTTAAGATTTAAGCCAAATTTTAGGAATTTTATGAGTTTTAGAAGGTGTGGGAGCCCTGATTTTATGGCAGGCTGTTTTAACATTTATTAAATAATTTTTTAATTTAAAATTTTACAGGTTTTTGCAAAACAATTTTTAATAAAAAGAATTTTGTAAATCCTAAATAATTTTTTTAAATTCTTTAGATTAAATTGGTAAACTAATTTTTTTTAGTATTTAAAAATAGTGTCAAGACATTTAAAATAAAAACACATAAAACATTTTTTACCAAAATAGTTTAAAATTATTGTTTTAAATTTGTAAAGAGTAATTTAAATGATTGGATTAAAAATTTATCGACTATTTAAATGTTGATAAATTTTTAATCCAAAAATTACCACTTTAAAATTCAAAACTTACATTTAAATGTAATGTGACTTTTTGTATTAAAAATTTATCGACTATCATTTAAATGACTTAAAGTTTTAAAGTTGTATTTTATATTTAAAAAAAAAATTTGACTATCATATATTTTAAGTTTAAAAAAAATTAACTCTGTAAATGTCTGTTAAAACATCATAAAATCGCTAAACCATTATCTAATAAATGCTAAAATGGCGTGCAATAGAATTTACACGTAGATACAGCAATAAAGGTTTTTCTACTCATATTGCATAATACTGACATTATTTCTGATTTTTCCTATATAATGATAACCATTTTACTGCCGTGCTAAGCCAAACCTACGTATCCGCAATATTAAGTATTAAAGGACAAAAGATAATTTTTATTGTTTTTAACGGGGTTTTGGCTTACCAGGGCAGTGTATAAACGCCTCGCCTAACAATGGGAATAATCAACTCATTATTTCCATTATTAGGCATCAGTGGCCAATATCATTATTCAATGTGATTTGGACCAATGAAGCAGTTGCAATTCCATTCATTTGTCAAATGACCTAACCTTATTTTCAATCATCCCAATAAAAGTTATGCAATAGAGGTAGAAAAATCATAGTATTACACTTGAGATAATGAATATTATTCCCTTGTATAATAATATACTTTTAGACGTGTAAATTAGACTTAGTTTTATTAGCTTAAAAACAAAAAAATCCAAATAATTTATTTAATCAATATTTTAAATAGAATCAATACAGCATTAAATTTTCAACACAAAAAAACAAATATTATTATTAATCTATCTAGTTTTTGACATTAACAATTCGTTACTTATAAATAATAGTTTTAAACAAATCAGGGCCGGATTAGTAATTTCAAACGGAAAAGTTTAGTGTAAACTGTAGCAGCTCTTACAAGAAGGTAAAAATTTATAAAATAATTTTTTAGCTTTTTCCTAAAAGGCACAGTTATTGCAGTGACCCAAATCAAGATTAGTAAATATTTTGGTTGTTTTTATATTTTTTTATTTTTGATTTAATAGTAAATTTTATTATTTGATGCAATTCATTTTCTTTAAAACCGTGTAACAGGAAACAAAATTCAACAAAATTGTATTTATAAACTATCAACTGATGATTCAACTTTTTTGAGGTTAGGAACAAAATTTCGAGTCAAACCAACCTTGGATTCACATTAAGTGGACAAGAAATTTTTTATTTTGTGTTCCTGTGTAATTTACTTAAAAAATTCAAAAATATTTAACGGTAATTTAAATCAAACTGTTTATTATTAATTATTATTATTATTATTATTATATTATTCAGAATTTTTTTATTCTTGAGAATGTTCTATGGCATTATGTTGAACACCCATGTAGATAGATACCAGTAGAAATTTTAAATAATATCGTAAAAAGAAAGTTACCAAAGGTAAAAGAAAAACGCACAAAAAACTAAACGCCGAAATGTAATTAATCCGGCCCTGCACCCAAAACCTTCACAGTACCTGAATAGTGGCCATAAAGTCGGGATAACTACTGACTGGCAAAATTCTAAATAGATAATTATAGAAATCGTGTTCGTTCTTTTTAACCACGCTAGCATTCGAAATCTACCGACAAAATAAAAAAAAATGAGTAAGCTAGTTAAGGGGGTTGGGTAGTTAGTTATGACTTTCTCTAGCTTTTTCTGATTTCTGATTTTTATGATTATTACAATGCAAAAATTGTATAAACTATGGTACGCCGTTTCAAAATGTATTTTTAATTTAAAATTTTATTGGTTAAAAATGTTCCCAACTAAAAATTTTAAATTTACATTTATAAATTTTAAATATTTTCAACTATAATGTATTGAAAGAAAAAATTTTCTAAAAGTTCACTTCTGTATTATACAAAATATTGCTTTTTCCAATCAATTTTTGCAAAAATTTCCAACCATCATTTTTTAATAAAAATAGGTTCTTAGTATAATTTATTTGTTAATTTTGTAAATCTTAAATATACAGGGTGTCCCAGAACTCGCGCCACAGAGAAAAAGGGGGATGCCAAATTTAAAAATAAAAAATTTCTAGGTAATAGTGTAATCGAATGAGAGCAAAAAAGCGGCAGCCAATACCGAGACATCTCGCCTAGGTTAAACGTAGGAGCTTTAAAAATTGCTAGAAGACGATAGATCATTGTTATCTTAAAAACATATAAAAATCTTTTGGCCAACTGTATTTACTAAGTTGTCAAAAGCTTTCAAAAAATGAGGTTATTAATCTATGACTGATACTTCAGAACGCCAATGTTTTAAAGTAAAAAATCAAACCAGTTGTACTTTATTTAGCTTTTTTTGCGCCCACGCTCGTCATAAATAGTTATCATTTCGGTATAATCATCAAGGAAAACATTATTTATAATAACTTAATTTATTACCTATAGGTATTATAATATTATAATATATATATATTACAATATTAATGACAAAAGTAAAGATTGACAGCATTGCATAGATAATAAATCAGCATTGTCAATAATAACTTAATTTATAACCTAATATAATATTAATGACAGGATTAAAGATTGACAGCAGTTTTACAATGAATTGGATTCCAGTGGACCAAATATTTTACATATTTTTTATTATCAACAATGCAACCTAAGTATCCCAGCAATTTAAAGAATTCCCTGTGGTGATCTATTGGGATTGGCTATCGTTTTTTATTCTTATCCCCCTTATCCTTTGCGTTGGACAATTTGAATTTTTAAATATGTGTTTCAAATTACTTTCGGTACGTTCCCTTTTTCTCTGTGGCGCGAGTTCTGGGACACCCTGTATATTTAATAAAATTTTGGTTAAATTTTTTAGTATTTAAAAATAGTGTAGAGACATTTAAAATAAAAATACATATAAAACATTTTCTACCAAAATAGTTTAAAAATTTAAATTTTTTTAAACCCCAAACAATTGATAATCAAAAAATATTTTAATAGTAAAATGCAATTGTAAAAGTTTAAGTTTAAAATATTGCTTTTTAAAAATTGTAGTTTTAATACAAAAATTCTCACATTACATTTAAATGTTAGTTTTAAAACTGAAAGTGGTAATTTTTGGATTTAAAATTTTACATTTAAATGACTCTTCACAAATTTAAACCAATAAATTTTATTTTTAACAAATTTAAATTGATACATTTTTAATTCACTTAGCTGACTGCATATGCTGCAGACTTTGCGCTTTGTACGTCTGTTAAAACTACGTTTATACTTTGTAAATTAAAAATTATCGACTTACATTTAAATGTAAAGTTATAAATTTAAAAAATGTATCAATTTAAAATTGTTAAAAATAAAAAGTTTTGTTTTAAATTTGTGAAGAGTCATTTAAATGATATATATATATATATACAGTTTTTGCCATAATTTTAGCAACCAATGTAAAAAAAAAATCTAAAACGCCTTTATTATTCTTTATGAAATTTTGGATAAAACTACTTCAACTTATATCTCAGTTTACGTGTTCGAGGGTTTTTTGAGAAAATATTTTTAAAGCCGTTTTATTTAATAATGAAAACGTTCGAAAAATAGCTTTTAGGGACATTTTTTTATGTAAATAAAAAATTTGCTGTTAAAGACCGTATTTTTGTTAGTATACCCTGAACATTTTGTACAAATTAAACGAACAGTAACGAAGATACAGCGCTTCAAAGTGTTCATTTGATTTGTATATTTTTTATTTACTTAAAAAAAATTACCCTAAAAGTTTTTTTTCGAACGTTTTTTCATTATTAAATAAAAGGGCTTTAAAAATATTTTTTCTGCTCCTATTACGAAATTTGACCGTTCTAATATCACTTTTATCTATGGAATGACATATATTCCGTAAAGTGTTACAGAATGAAATATTCTATCATCGGATGACAGAATAAACCTCACTTTCTTCCAATTAAATTATTTTTCTATGGTATTTTTTGGAAACGTAAAAAAAGTAGTCTGAAACCCGTTTGGAATTGCATATTCCGCTCTCGTGAAACCGTCAAACTCGCCTTCGGCTCGTGCGACAAACTTTTCCCTCGAGCGGAATATGCTGTATTCCAAACTTGTTACAGAATATACTATTCTCGAAAAACCCTCGAACACGTAAACTGAGATATAAGTTAAAGTATTTTATCCAAAATTTCATAAAGAATAATAAAGGCGTTTTAGAGTTAGATTTTTTTTACAGTGGTTGCAAAAATTATGGCCAACACTGTATATATACATATATATTTTAATCCAAAAATTACAGCTTTAAAATTAAAACATACATTTAAATGTAACTTTTTGACTATCAATAGTTTTGAGTATAACTTAGTAAATTTCTGTTAAAACATTAAATCATTAAAGTGCACTAATTTCTAAAGAGTTTAAGTGCTACTAAAGTAACTATCCAACCTCTTTAAAAAAATTTGAGCAATTTTGTAGTATACAAGAAAAGAATAGTAGTAAACTAAAGCGTAAGGTTCAAACAAATTTATAAAAAATATATTCTTATAAGACCAATTTCTTACGCCACAAACACTTAGTGTTTGTGGTGTAAGAAATTGGTGGCTTTCAAATGTTTCAAAATCCTTAAAATCTTAATTTTCAAATTCTGAAGTTTTGCAAAATTTCCCACATCAAACTTCGCGGGTATGTTTCGGGTTCTGAAGCACAAAAAAGCACTACTTACCAAGGGCTGAGGCTCGTAGCCGCTCTGAAATTTTCCGTACATGCTCTTCGGTCTGTTCTGCCTGTTACCGTCCACCGATTTTATCATGGTCGGCACCATGGCTATTTCTTTGTAGAAATCGGGATGCTTGGTGTTGATGTAAGCTAGCTCGATGTCGACGAGGTTTTCAACCATGTCGTTCGTGGTCGGCAAACGTCGGCGCAGAAGTTGCGTCACGACGTCGACGATGCTCTCGTAAAGTTTCGGGAAGCGGAGCATTTCTTGTTGCACTTCGCTGCCACAGTGCTGGTAAGGGAAAGCAAAGAAACATGTTTCTAACAATTTAAACAAAGAATACTGTTTGCTGGACAATCATAAAGACAAATGTTAAAGTATATTAAATATAAAAATTAATATAAGGTATTAAATTGTTATTTAAGTAATATTTAATAAATAATTAATTAAAAAAACGGTATAATAGATTGGGATTCACGATTTACCTTGCGCTCCACACTTTGCGCCCTCTATCTCAAAAACGATTAGACGTATAAAAAAATGTTTTAAACAAAATTTTTAGAGAATTTTATTCTCTACAACTCTTATAATAAATTCAAATACGATAGGAGGCAAAGAAAACGAGATATTCTCAAAAAATTGATTTTTGCGACCTTTGACCTTGAATATCTAAGGCCGCTCACACGTTCGCATATGTGACTTTTGAGACAACATTTGTAATGATAAAATAAAGGTTTGTACAAAAATTCAGCTTATTCCGTTAGATTCCTAGGTGAAATGCCTCGATGACTGGTCTATTCGGACTTTTTTTAAATTAATTTACTTTGTGTAACTTAATATAATTTACAAAAAACACGAAAATTAAAAATAATTTTTTTATTTAATTAAAATAAAAGGTCAAAATTGGCAAATTCTAGGAACCCTAAATTTATAATTGCCTACATTGAGTAAAATAAAATAATTTATGCAGCACAAATTAATTATTTCATGACTTTTATAAAGAAGTAAAAAACGTCAACTTTTCCACATTCCATGGATTGTAAACTTTTAAAATGAATTCGGACTTTTTTAAATTAATTTACTTTTTTTAAATCAATATGATTTATAAAAAAAACATTTTCCGAAAAAAATATTAATTGTGGGTTTAGTTAGCAAATTGTAGGGACCCTAAATTTATAATTGGCTAGATTGAGTAAAATAAAAAAAAATGTGGATTTATGCAGCACAAATTAATTATTTCATGACTAAAAAATTAATTTGTTTTTTTTAATTAATTTACTTTTTTACAAAAAACAAAACAAAAAATTGAAAATAATTTTTTTAATTGATTAAATTATAATAAGGTCAAATTTCCGAAAAAATATTAAATTGTGGGTTTAGTTGGCAAATTCTAGGGACCCTACATTTATAATTGGCTATGTTGACTGAAATAAAATTTTAATTTTTTGGACTTGTACTGATATTAATCTCACTGATTCAATTGTATTTAAACAAATTATTGTGAAAATGAGATAATTTATGTAAAAAGTTATCAGCTTTCAAAAAATATCAAATTCCAAATAAAAATTGCCGCAAGGACAGAAAAATCGCATTTAGCCTTATAGTAAAGAATGAATATTTTTATTGAAAGGCTAATCATTGTTTACAACAAAACAGTACTGTTTGTATTTTTATAAAACATTAATGAAATTAAAAAATATATATCTTCTAAATTCGAAAAATCATAACTAGAAAAGTTTTTAATATTAAAAGCTCAAGTGTTGAGTCATTATTTTGATCTAATAAAAAAATCCGTAGTGGTTACACCAAAAAAAAATAATTTTTGGAATGATCCATATATTAATAATGCTATAACACTAGTCTAAGGTATTTTGTTTTTTACTAAAAATGTTTGAACTACCACTTACTTGAATGATTCTCTGCATTTCTTCATGGATTAACTCAACGCAACGCAAAGACGGTTCCTGTAATCTCCTAATTTGACGTTTCACCAGTAATTCGAACGACACTTCCGGTACAAAGAGAGCGGGACGTGGCCCATTTGCATTTCTAAGATAAAGTAAATACAACCTTAGACTAAAGACTCCCAGGTTTATTAGTCTAAGTGCCGCCACGATACACAAACACCGGTAAGCTGATGCGCATGTTATAGCCACTCTCTCGCACCGTGTGACGTCATGTGCGAACCAAAATCTGACGGGTAACTGGGTGGGAATGTTATTTGCACTGCAAATTCACGTTATATTCCAAAATTTATAAATATAGGGACGGCCTGGGTGCAATTATTAAGTGTTACAAATGTTAAGAGAAAGTTAAATTGGCAGCGAGCGCTTTTAATACTAATGTGACATTTTAAGTAACAATTAATTTCCTACCTTCCTGTTATTATTTTTCAAAATATTTGTTATTTAATTGAATTACGCTAGATCGAATTTTAAATTTTTTTAATGTGAAAGGTAAATTAAAAAAATGCTTTTGTACAGGTAACTAATGCACGCCCGCTTTAAAGTGTCAGAAGTAAAAAAAATCTGAAGCGAGTTTCCGATACAATTGTGTTTTGATTTTTATTATTAGTAAGAACTTATCAAGATACATACACCTTAAGATAGGATGGTGCTCGTATTGGGCGGGGCTTAAATACGTCACTTGATGAGTGTTTTTAAATCTTTAACGTGCGTTTTAATTATCTGCTGCTAAAATTCTTGTTTTTGCTATGCTGTTGGATGTTAACTTGCTCTATTTTTTGTTTAACTTGTTGTTTTTGCGTTCGGTAAGGTTCGAATTACTTTTCAGTGTTCAAATTATTGTTATTGTGTTGTGTTAACCTGTTCTGTTTGATTATTATTGTTTTTGTGTTGCGTTAACTTGTTTTGTTTGTGTTTTAGTTTGTGTCCATTTGCATTTATTAAAATGCGGTGTCCAAGAAAAACCCTTTAAATAAAAACATTAAATTTCATTGATTCCCGAAAAACTTTAATTTGTGCAAACAGTGGTTAAATGCCACAAAAAGAATAAACAATATTAACGTTAAGACCGCTTCTGTTTCCTATAAACATTTTCTGGACAGTGACTATAAGTTTAATTTAAAACACCAACGCTTAAACTACAGCCCTAAATGTTATCAAGGACTGAAAGCATCTATTATCCATATTATAACACTTTCTTCAATATTAAGTTTAATAAAAACGCATGTCCAGATATTTCTATTTTCTTTGATAATATTACTCTCGATATTACTATTATTCGTGTATTCGCACGGCAACTACTCATCAAGTGACGTCATGCGCGGCACGAACCAAAACTCGTACACGGGAGCATCCAGCCCTGGTAACATTTGAATCTGGTTACCGGTTTTTGTGTATCGTGAGTACCGCCGAACGTGACATTTTTTTACCTTATGGCTGTGAGGATGTCCATTTTGGTGAGCCCAGCAAGGGGGTGAATGGAATCCAAGGTGCGACCGAAGGTTTCGTGGAAAATATAGCAAATCCTAGCACCTCCGCACAATTCCGTGGTCTCTATATTTCTAGAGGTACCTTCTATCGTCGAACAGTAAGCCGACGCGAATTTCGTGATGATTTGCAGCAAAGTTTTGCTTTTATCTGAAATGTCTTCCCCGTACGAAGTGAGCAGTGAGTGAAATTGGGACATCATAAGGTTAACCCTCGTCTAAAACAACATTAAAATTGAGAACTACAGTCCACACTCTACTCTAGGGTTACACACCTTAAGATCAGGCAAGCAATCCCTGATGTGGTGCATTAGCAATCTGTTTAGCGTTTTAGCTAGGTAAGGGGTTCCGTTTCTGCCCGCTAGAGTCGGGTATTTGCTTTGCAAAAACGATGCTTCGTCTTTGAGAGAGTCTTTGATGGATTTGTTGCTCATAATGTCGGCTTGCGATCTATTTACCACGCCGATAATGCCCAATTTTACCGGTATAACTCTACCGCAAAGTATGTCAATAGCATCAGTACCTAAATTAAAAAATGTACACAATAAATATTAAGGGCGCCGGTGGAAAATGATACACGGGAAAGGCAAAAAAATTACGTGCATTGAGTTGAGGTTGAATTTTAAACTAGGAGTGTGCGAATATTAAAATTTACAAATAATAATTCAAATTAGTACGCCACTGATCGATCAGGAACTTTAGGCTAATCTGGTTGCCTAATTTAATTTATTATATTATGGTTGGGAAGTTGGAAAGTTGCCAGATTTTGTTTAAATTTAGCTTAATTACAAAAATGACAAAATCAACAATGCAAATTGTTAATTTTGCGTTTTTATTATTTGTTGATTATGTCATTTTTGTAATGAAGGTTAATTCAACCAAATCTAGCAACTTTTATAACAGAATCTAGTGCATTTCTTTCAAATATTAGGTTATGTGCTCAAATTGTAAATATCTTAACACAAATTGAATGTTTAAAGTTTAACTTAATTTTATCTAAGTAAACAGAAAGAAAAAAAACCAATGTAAAAATTAATTTTGTGGTTATGGAGTTTTTAAAATAGGTTCACAATTTTCTAATAATTGCTTAAGCTAATAGCTGGATGAGAAAATAAATACAGAAAGGTATTCTTTAAGGGCATAAAACTTTTGTATTTATTGAGTTTTTATTTATTTTTTGCAAGAAACATTTTTAGTAACAATTTTTTACAACTGGCAACGCGCAGCTACTTTGTTGGTTGGTATCTATGTACTCACAGAACACAAGTCTGTAACCAGTGGCGTATCACAAAAAAAATAAAAAACTTCTTATGCATATTTTTTTATCTTTGGGAAAATATTTTTTTAAATATGTTTCCGTTAAGTACACCTTATGTCAAAAGGTATTCAGTATTTTAATATTTCATTAATTACATAACACCCTGTACTGTATGTCACTCTATAATAGTTTAACAAAACAGTTCCATAACTGGTACTGCCAAACCATTATAATTTTTTTAAATTTTTATATTTCACATAGGTAGCTCTTTTTGATATTTTTACTCAATTAAAAGAACAGGAATAATTATTATAATCTTAATATTATGATTATAATCAGATTTCATCAGTAAAAATTTGAAAATTTTGAGAAAAATTGACTTTTGCATTTTTTTCGTATCGGTCAATTTTAACACCTGTTATTTGTCATTTTTGACATCTGTCATCTGCCCTATTTTTTAATTTTTGAACACTTGTCGTTTTTTATATTTTTAATTTTTTATATCTGAAATTGTTGACGTACATTAAAAGTACCACTTTGACATTTTAACAAAGGAATGCTAATAATTGAGGTTATGTATTTGTCAGTTAGGTCTTATTTTTGTAAAATAATGCTATAAATGTAATTTTTGTGCATAAATGATTATATAATAAAAAAAATTACCTGCATCCATTAAATCTAACTTTGTTACAACAGCCAATGTTCTTCTGCCATCGGGATCAACATCCTTAGCTATAGCTATACTCTCTGACGTTGCCATGTCTGTATTGGCAGTGACCACTGCTAAAATAATAGAATTTGGGTTTGAGGTGTATTTTAATAGTAAATCTCGAATTTGTTGCTCAATGTCAGCCGGTTGATCTCCTACAGGCACCTACAAAAATATTAAATAAATAATTTAAAATAATTAATTTTTTACTTACCTTTGTTATTCCTGGTAAATCAACCAAAGTCAAATTGACTACTTTGGTAGAGTATATTTTTAAGTTTATTGGTTCCGGACATATTCCCTTATTTGATCCAGCAATTCTGTTGGTTTCTTCTTCAATTTCCAAGCGAATTTCCTCAAAGTTTCTAAATATTTTGTCTTTTGCATGCAGAAAAACACCCCAATCTTCCAGCTCAATAGTTCCTAGTAGCAGAATTTTAAAATAAGGAATAAGTAATTTAATAAAATCAAAAACTAAATTTTTAAATTTTATGTGCAACATTAACAATTTGGCATTATAGCCAACATAAGAAAATACTTTAATTAAATTTTACACTGTGATTTTACAAATAAAAATATTTAAATAATTATAACATAAGCACAATTCGAAATAAAAAAATAAAACATATCAATAGTAACATTTTATTAAAGTTGGTTTCATAGATTAATAACCTTGGTTGGTTTCAACCAGTTAAATCAATATAGAAATCAATATAGAAAGAAACTTAATTGAACTATTTAATAAAGTTTCATAAAGATATACAACAATAAAACCACTGGAATTTTAGTTTATCAAGTTGACTCATAAGCCTATAAAAAAGATGGTAAAAAAATATCCTATTACTTGGAATTTCAAAAATTTTGGACTTGTTTGCTAAAATTGTTGGGCTTCTTCACAAAAAAAACTATCTAGATACAACTGTCAACTTCCCACATATAATCAATTTAAGAATGTGGATTTTACTATACCATCGATAGAGCTCCGATGTTCCTTGTCTTCTTTAGGGCTATAAACCAGCTGTAGAATAAGAGGCCTTCTTGTGACAATGCCTGTGCCTCGTGGCAAAAACGATTTTCCAACCAGGCTCTCAATCACAGAGCTTTTTCCTGAACTCTACAACCAGGTTATGTCATAAATTTGAACCACTCAAAAAACTCGATTTATTGCTATTTACCTGTGATCCCAACACGACTATTTGCGGTAATTGTATGGCATCCGATCCGACGGTATTAAAAACATCTTGCAATTTGTTAATGACAGGAATTAGGGCCTCCATTGTATTTATTCTAATTAATGACTCGACCGGTCGATTTTAAAAATAACGATTACTTAAGTAAATCACAGTATTACCACACTATTTAGCAGGCTAATTATACACAATCACCATTTTACTATTTAAAATACCCAATTTCTTTATTTTTGCAAAAAATCTATACAAAGAAATGGTGAATTTACCGTGTTGTTGGTAGAACGGAGTTTTGTTGGCAGCACTGACGGTTGGCGCCAAATGTTCAAAAATCGTTTGTATTGTATAACTTTAAAATTAATTTATTTATATATTAAAAAACATTACAATGTACTTAATTGTGAGTTTTGATCAATACTTATTATATAATATCGTCATTTAAATTTAAGTACTTGTTTAGTTTTTCATGTTGGCAGCCTTGCTTTATTATACAACCAAAATTTAAAAAGTAACCGCTTTTAATATTGCTTAATAATGTTCTGTGATTGATTTTCTTTATACTAAGAATTTTTTTATGATAATTAATTATAAATCAAAATGCTTTTTTTGTTTTAAATGTTTAAAATCTAATTTTTAGTTGGTACCATGCCTGTCAAAATTTTACATTGTCAAATTGACAGCCATTATGGCTGAGTCATGATATATTTTGGTTCTGTTTTGTTGGTAGTTTTACATTTATCTACAGTGTTTATTGTTGTTAAATTGTGCTTGAATTGCAGAATTTAAAGAGGAAAGTTGTTTTATTATTACTTATTACTTATTAGTTGTGTATTTGACAAAATGCATGATGTAATATAGTTGTTATATTACTTTAATTAATACACTGTACACGTTTAGTATAGTTTATTAAACAACAATATTAGAGAACACGTTGATATCTGTCTGACAAATATATTAAAGTAATATAACAACTATAGTTGTTATATATATATTACATGATGGCGCAGTCGAGGTACTAGAAGAAGAAAGAAAAATAGTAAAAACGAACCTTAGAAAATTGTACACGTGGAAAACATAAACTAACAATTAGGAAAAGCCGTAAGAAGTGCGAAGAGTTTTCACAGCTATGTGTATGGAAGGCCTAAAACAATTATAACCCACCATAAATCAAACGTGGTAGCTAAAGAAATAGGTAGTATACATTCAGCTAAATTACAAAGAATTAGAATTAAGCTATTAAAATATATTATTAAAATACAATACTTACTGGGAAAGAATATGTGTTTGGCAGATTACTTATCTAGAAATTTTTTAAATAAAGTGTTGAAGAAGATTCTGAGTTAAATGAAATGGTCCATTCAGTTAAAAAATACTTGAGAATCAGTGAAAGTCGGAAAACGCAATTTTCAGAAATGACTAATAAAGATGTGATTTTACAAAAGGTTAAAGACAGCATATTAAATGGGTAAAACCAAATAGTGTAGACTTATTAGTTTATTTTAAAATTAGAAATCACTTAAATAATTTATTATTCTATAAAGATAGGGTTATAGTACCCACTAAGTTAAGACCTGAAATGTTAAAAATATTACAACACATGATCATCGATACATCGATACAATGAAACTTGTAAAAACTCGACCATACTTTTGGATTCTTTAGGTGTTCTAGGATATTTTTTGAAATAAAAGAATTATAGAAGAGATAATATATTATAGTTTATTATTCAATTTGACAATTTCAAAAAAAAATCACTCGTCACTTTCTCTTGTAAATAATGCTAAATAGATAATTGTTATTTCTATAAATATGATTTTTCTCTAAAATACGTTCTTATCTAAAAATTATACAATAAAACTTAACACAAAGGGAATAATAACTTAACGTTAAAAATACATGTATATGAATACTCTGAAAAATATATTATATAAATATTCTAAATGTTGATGATTGACAAAAAACTAAATGAAAGACAAGGAGGTAATGAAATGTGTTCTGAAATTTCCAGTTCTCACAAAAAAATTAACTAAATCTTACCGTTTTTTTTTATAAAATGTAGGAAATAAGTATTTACAATTTCAAAAAGATCATATAGATTTATAATACAAAAGCTTACAAAAAGTGCATATCTTATATCCATGCAGAAACGAAATAAAAATTAACAACTACAATTTTGATTATAAATTATCCTTGAGACAAAATTTAAAAAAATATAATGTAACACAGCGATTGTAAAATATGTATGTATATGGCAGGTAATCTTTTGACATCCAATTCATTTTATTAATTACCCCAAAAGAGAATAAGGGAAAATTAAAAGATTATGGCTTTTAATAATATGGTAAGGCTGATAGGATGTAAATTTTACAAAAAAGTAACTGGTACCAAATTAATTTTAGCATTTTTTGTATTATATTGAAATAAGATAAAATTAAAGATTTAATGGTACCTTAGACCATACACTGGTTTAAGGTTTTCGTAGTTTTAATGCCTATGTTATATTGGAACTTTTTTGTAAAATATATTTTATTCCCACACAGGTCCTAATCAAGGTAATGTAGCGCGACAACGATGATCAGCATTTTTGGGCTTTGAGATCATGCGTGGTACACAAAATACCCGGGTTTTCCTCAAAAATTATAATTTTCCAACACTTGTGTTTCATGCAACAATCAAAATAATAAAAATTTTATTTTAAGATATTCTCACACAATTTTATTGCCATTTAAGTATTGGGACCTTGGCTGTTTTTACAATTTTTAAATGTCTCTTTCAATTGATGCACTTACTCTCCCTACAATTAATAAGGTCATTAATATTATGTACTCAAATAAAGGGAAATTAATAATTAATTAACGTGGTGATTTGATAATATTTTTATTTTATATGTAAAAAATAAATAATCTAATAATAATTAATAATAAAAAGGCTGTATTTGAACCTTATCACAAAAGAATGCATTTTTGAGTGTATAATTTTAACGACTTAAAATTCACAATTTCTCAAAATGATAACGACATTGTTTCTTTTCTCTCAACAAAACTAACTCTAATAATCTCAGCAACAATTACATCAAACACAATAACATTCAAATCTATATATGTATAATAATTAATAATAATAAACATCTCTTAAAAGTACTTATATATAAATAAATTATTTAAACAAATAAAACATTGGATTGCTTATACTGGATTTTTATACAACAATTTAAAATTTCATTTTTCCGTCCAGTCAAAAAATTGTACCCATTTCAATTATCGAACAACAGTCGTGTATGCGTGATTCGCGACCCAATCAAAAAAATATATTTTTTGATTAATTTTTTTTACCACTAGACGACTTTGGAAAGAGGTTCGTTGTTTTCTTTGGGCACGTTGATACAACACAGACATCTCGGTTTCATGGCTGGCACCGAAAATTCAGGCAATCTATCTTCAAGTACAGGTTGTCCAAAAATATAATACACAATTTTTTTTGTTTTGAATAAATAAAATCCCAATTAATTTGTAACGAACAAATACGTTACAAAACTACATTTTTCATACTGAAAAGAGCAATATTTATTTCATGGAATAATTCGTAAAAAATAGTTTTGTTAAAAAAAGTTTTAAAAAGTTGTGGACACCCTGTACAAAACATTGAAGGGGTATTGTACCGCGTTCAGGTGAGATCTATTTTTTCAGACTCAATTTATCAGTCGAAAATAGGATTTTTAGATAATAGTTCTGTAATGGACCTAACTTAAGAGAGGGTGATTTAAAAAAATCGAATATTTTTTTGCTTCCAACACTGTAAAATTGGTTCTTAGGTACTTCTAGCAAGTGCTCACTAAATTTTAACTCTTAATATTTAATATTTAACAATAATTATTTTTCAATAAGTTACAAAATTATTAAAACAATTTTTTTTAATAAATTCTTCAAACTTTGGTCTTGAATATCTTTTAAATGGTTGAAGTAATTTAGTTAAGGGATTGATTAATAATGAAATATGGTCTTTTTGATAAGGGACTAAAAAAAAATGGAAAACTATTTTTTTGAATCACCCTATATACTATACCTATAGGTGTAGCATGCAACTCTCTTGCGTATGTCCAAAATGTTAACTTAACCTAAAAATTCTTTTTCCAGCTCTCTTCACGGCCCTTTTAGTGTTTTCTTGAAGATAAATTTCTTGAGCAACACACGAGACGATATAAATATCATAATTGTACTGTAGGTAGTGCAGTATGAGATCTGTTTGGGGAGGTGGTTCTCGGGGGTGAACCGTTTGCGTTTCATAGTCCCTTATTTAAAATTAGATGATTTATGTAGTAGAACACAATATTGGATTCACTTTAGCGTCTCTTTGCACTGGCATCCTCTGTTTTCTTCAGTCCCCGAATCGACTGCAAGCCTTTTTCCACTTGCATTGCGTGCACCACTGCTCTCGGTGCTCCATTCCGTAGACCTTGCGGCACTTTTTGTTTTCCCCTCGCACCCTGCGTGGGGAGACGGGCATTTTTGGGCTGTTGGGTCTCGGAGACAGCTTGATCAGTTTGTGGGGCGATTGCGGGATTATGATTGGAGCGTTGAGCAGGCTCTGGCGGAAGTTGCCGACTAACGCCCTCTGGTAGTCGGGGTCCTCGTGAGGCGGTCGGGCCATGTCGCGGTGCGATAAAGTGGGCCCCGGGCTCGTCAGCCCGATCTCCAGCTCGGTGTAGTAGAACTCTTCCTCGTTTTCGTCGCAGGCTTTGTCTCTGCAAAAAATAATAAGTGTTAAATATACCGCATTTTCATTTGAAATATATACACTCGATCGAGTAAACTCGATCGCCCCTCCCCAGATGCGTTGTAAGCGGATTGCCGTAGGCGACGATGCAGTTCTGTTTTGCATTTGCTAGTGTGTTTTAACATAAATTAATTTAAGTTATAATGTTATACACATTGCAAAAGAAAATTGACATGATAAGCTTGTCTTTAGTGGGCATTTCATGACAAACGATACTGAGAGTGAAAAAATAAATACGTTCTTTCCATTTTCTTGATTAAAAACTGTAACACCCGACAACGTTTTTATGGAATTATTTTTTTTAACAAACTTTCAAATAATGTGAAAAATATGGATTTTAATGAATACAAACTGTTTTTTATATCCTTTTTTATTAATTAATCATTTATTTTATTCTATTGCTGAGTTTTTTAACTTTACTTTTTAATTTGTCTTTATTTTATTATATTTTTTGTTTAATTTGTATTCACATTTCTTGTACTATTTTTATATTTGTATTTTTCTAACGTTAAACCATTGAGTAAATGGTTAAACCTTTGGTAATGGCACTAATAAATATTATTATTATTATTACTATTCAAAGCCTTTGTTGAAATAATAATTTATTATTTACATTTATTTTAAGAGAATTGATTTATTTAATTTTTTTTAAGAGAATTTTTTATCTGAATTGTTTTAAAAAGTTAATTAACTTAATGATGCGTAATTCGTATTAATAATCCAGAGAAAACTTCGACTATCACCCAACGCCGGTGAAGAGTCTACTGCTGAATTACGAAAACCGTCTCTGGGGCCGAGAGTCTCGGCGTCTCCCAGTCTAAAATGAAAGTACGGTGAATTGTTTAGTATTTTTGTACAAACGTAGTTAGGGGTTTTTGTTATTTTTTTTTGTCCTAACAAAATTTTTTATAAACAAATTCCATCACTCCATTCCATTCCATCAAAATTTTCATCAAAATATATACAGGGGTGTCCCAAAATTTGCTATTTTCGATTATTAATCCTACATTCGAACAAACAAGTAAATCGCAGATCTGCTCTTTTCGAAATAGTGCAATTCCTGTTAAATGGTTGCCATGGCAACCAAATGCTTCCTTAACAACCAAATGTTTTTCAGCGGTACATTATTATAAACAGTTTTATACGCTAAAGAAGTATCGGGTTTTCGCAACGCGCGCGCCATCTGGTGGACTTCGAGTGCATTGCGTGAATTTAAGAATTGTCAAAAATACATTTAAAGCACAGATTATACATCATTTTTAAATAAAAAGGTAGTTTTTTTACAAAGGAGAGGAAGGCAGAAGTCTTACTCGACAAATTTTGTCCAATTGCACAGCTAAATCGCGCATTTTGTGTTTTAGGTTGCAAGGAAAAAATTAAAAAACTTTTTTATTACTCGATTTCGATTATTCCTTATATCACTCAACGCTTAAATGCTTATATAGTTACGTTACGTTAGTGTGTGTATTTTATCAAAGGGATCATGGTGAATTATTGTGTTTTTAATTGTAAATCAAATTCAAGAAATCGTTGCATTTTCATGTTTTGCCAAAGGATCCAATTCGGTAAGTACATTTGTTGGTGCAGAATTAACTAATGATAACTTTACCTAATATACATAATTTATATTTAAGTTTGGACATTTTTTAAAAATTAGTTAAAAATAATTTTTGCACAAACATAACCTTAAAATCAACCATTTTTATGGTTGAGTTCTCTAAAAAACGCCGACAACTGCATTTTAAACAACAAAATATACCTGCAAATTCATGGCAACATAATGTTATATATAATACATAATATAATGGTATTTTACTGTCGAGTGGATACTTCCTTAATCAACGCTTTTAATAATGCTAACTGCTGTTTAAATTTAGACGACTTTTTTTTGGCGATTTTTACTGAATTGAAATGTTTACACTTTTCACGTTAATTACTACTAAAATATGTATTTATTGTATCTAATAGGTACAATTTATATTTACAAAAACTGTATGCAATTTATTTCTTCATTCAGATTAACACTGTTTATTGGAAAACCGGTAAAAACTCAACCCAGGATTTCCTCTCGAAATACACCCAACAACACAACAAATCGAGCCACGGTTTTTTAACATTTTACGGCTTTATTCTCAAAAACACTCGTTTGTAACATAAGCGTTTGACAGCTGATTATTAAAAGTTATACTTTTATTACGATGATAACAACCGAGTGGTGGCGCTACTAGCGATACTTCTTTAGCGTATATAAAAAAAATTCCATAAATTACGGCGTTTCTGCCATATTTTAATAAATTTATAAATTTTAATAAAAATTAACATATGTTAATATGTACCTAATTTGTTATCATAAACGCGTCCTACATAGGACAATTACGCGAAATCCCGATAAGGCTAGGCCACAAAAATTTCGCATCAATTAATTCATTTGTTTATGACACATTATCGCTAATAAATAAACAACGTGTCGTGATAACAAACAATAAAAACCGCGTAAAACACGAAACCTAGTGTGGGACGTACATTTCTTAACGGTTTAACCGTGTGGTAAACAGCGAAATTTACGCAACCGAAAAAATCTCCAAAATTTCGTTCGTGTGTAATAACGGGGCTGTCGCGGGTACCTGCGCAGGCACAGCTGATTTCGTTTCTTGTAATAACGGGTTCCAAGGCTGCCGCGATTCAACCTTACCAGGCGACGCGCGCCGCCTTAATTTCTCGAATTACCGTTTGGTTGTTAAAAAGATTTTAAATCCCGAAAGAGTACTTGCAGCGTGTGAGCACAGTTCGTAATAAATAATGGAACTTTTAAACCTCTTTTTATAGGTATTATAAAAAATACATATTTTGTTTATTACTATTACTAATCTACCACTGCAAGTTTAGGGTCATGTCAAGAAAAATAAACACCCCTTTGTTCACAAACTTTCTAAATAACCTTTTCCACTAAACCCCGAGCAAGTTGCCCTGCCTCAACCAAAAAACATAAACCAAATTCTTTACCTGCTTAGTCACCTTTGACAGGCTGTTTTGTCCAAAGTAACTAATGCAGAAGTTTTATGTGTTGAAAAAAATTATTTAGATATTAAGGAGTAGATTTAATTAAATGTGAAGGATACGTTATCTGGTTTGATATGTGAAATATAATCTGTATAATATTAAAACCAGTTTAAAGTGATCCAAAAATACGATATAATGGTACGCATAATTTATATTTAATATGTGTTTAACGTTATTATAAAATAGTAAATAGAGACGAACCCAATATTTATATATATAGTGTTCGACACGCATTTTCGCCTTGATAGTTTATTTTCGTCACGAGATGCCGACGTGAAACAACCAATTATTTGTAAATATTTTATATTCTTCTTCGCGTTTATTCCGTTGGAAATAAACACAAATGCGTTTGTTATCATGTTTACCAAAATTAATGCGTTGTTTTAAAACATTTACTTTTAATTTGATGACTTAACAATTGATAAACAATACAGGGTTTCTGGATATACCGTTAATATATTTTATTAATGATTTTAAATATCCCCATACACAGAAGTCGAGTGGATTTAAATCTGGAGAACGAGGAGGCCACGGAATTGGCTAATTTTTTGGAGAATTGTAGGTATTCTAAGATTGAATTCCACAAAAAAAATTATCATTTATCCTATTTGACACCACCAGATGATTTCCCAACACCCCGTACAATAAACACCTCACGAAATTAAACTCAATTGAACAAAAGTGTAGATTGCTCGTGTTCACTTTACTGCACACATGATGCCGTGTGACGTAACGGATTCTATACAAATTTAGAACATCGATTTGGCTTAAGGTGCGTCTCCACTTTGTTAGGTTTCCTGCTATGAATAGAACTGCGAGTCGCTAATTTTGTCTTATTTTTCGAAAGTAATACTATATATTTTTTTGTGTATGAAGGCCTTAATTTAGAACATATAAGATCATTTATATAATTTTTTGTATACAAATGTCGAGGTGGGACTTTTGGGTGTAGAGCGAAGTCTTTATTAATATTGTTGCCAAGTTAATAAGCCTCTAGCTGATTTCGTAACTTATTTTCAGCTTTAAAACAATTTATCTCTAAAATATGTTGTTTGTTTGTGATTTTCAAGCAGTAAATAAAGCTGCAGCTAAATTTATCCGATGTTAAGTAACGTAATAGCTCATTACATGCATATAAGCCTTGAAATCCTTTGAACGGGCCGGGCCAAATTAAATTTGGCAACGCTTGATGTTTTCGATTGTTACATACGTAATATAAATGTGTCACGTTTAAAAAATTTAGCCTTGTATGTGTACCATACGTATGCATACGCATGTTTATAGTCGATTTTTAAGGGGGCATACTGTAAATATTTCGAATCGAACCCAATTTCAAAAAATCCTATCTTAGCGGTACCCATGTCATTACATTTTGGCCCTTCACATAGGTCCAGCGTTTATGAATCAACTAGGACATTATTTTATAGAAGATACACGTGCTGAATAGTTTTGTTTACGTTCTCCATTAAGGCCAGCGCTTAAATTAACTTGTTATTCTATGATGCAGCGAACATCAAATAAGAATGAGATATTTTAAATGCGTTAACCGTGTGTATATTCCAGCAAGTCCCAAATTTAAAATTATTTTATGTTTTCTATTGATTCCAAAACACATAATAATGACACAATGAAAAGTTCCACAAAGTAAAGTGTCGATAGTTTGACTTCTTATCATTCCAAACAAGTAAATTGAGCCATTAAAAAATAATTTGGGCAAGTAATTGCCCTCGACTAGACTGTTTTTTGTTTGTTAAACAAAAACATTTTATCAATATTCCAAAAAACATGCAATAACAAAATAATTATTAATAATTTTCTAGCAAAAAAGTTTGTCATTAATATTACATGAAATTTTGTTTTTGTCGAAGAACAGATTAGTACCCAATACATTTCTCACGACTTTATACAGCCTGTATAATACAGGGTCGTCCAAAATGAACCTTAATAAGAGAATCAATAAAAATGTTATTATCTGACTCAGATGTAACAAACATTTTTAGTGTTCAAAGCTACTTACTTTAGATGTTCAGTCCTGACGTGGTGCTCAATATCCTCGCAATTATGTGTGGTTTTCATGCAACTAGGCCACGTACACTGGAATACTATTCTTGTGATATTCTGAAATAAAACAAACAGATTTAGAACGTTATGAAACTTAAAATTAATTGGTTTCCAAAAGCCAGACCAGACAGGAATTTGACCCAAATCAGAAATAATCAAAATCATTTTAGCCATATATACAGGGTTTTTAAATAACTTAATATTCTTGTTAGCATATAATTTAAAACAAATTGAAGTTTTAATTCTCATAGGATGTGGTAATATAGCTAGAACACAACAAGAAGTTTGCAATTGCAGAAATGTTTCCCAGGTTCCGATCTACCAAGTTATTTTTTGGACATATGTTTTCCTGAGAGGTGACCACTCTGGCCAGCCAGATCTCCAGATCTCACCCCTTTCGATTATTTCTTATGGGGCTACCTTAAATCAAAGGTCTACATCAAAGTCGTGAAATTCTGCAAAAAAGGGGTACAATTAAAAAAAGGCCGATGACGTCATGACTTCTACATACTTTGGCATGTCACTGTGTCACATTTAGGCTCAGTCGTCCAAATTAAATTAAATTAAATATGTTTCGAATCGAATGTTTCGCAAACAAAGGCTGCAAAACGAACAAAGAAAACGTTTCCAGGACTTTGTTGTCTCTCCGTCTTTGTCTGGCAGGACTCGTGACGTCACTGCACGGGCCACTAGATCGATATGTTTACAAGCTGAGACACGTGCTCGCGAATTGCGATGCACTAAAATTGCCCGCAAATACTTTTGCAGATTAATATGCAGTTTAAAATAACTTTAATTTTAAAATGTTCATGTATCAATCTATGGATGGGTATATTTTTTATTTTAATTAGAAAAATAATTTGAAAATTTTTAATTAGTTTGAGATTCTTTGCTAGGTCGAAATATCTTAATATTATAATCCAATATTAAGTTTGTATTGAAAAAAATTGCAACAAAAATTAGGTGTACAGGGTGATCCCCTATAATGTCGCCCCCCTTAAACTTTTTTATTTTAAGTGTCCCAAAAAAATTAAAAGTGTGGTTATGTAGGTACTAAAAAAATACTTTTTTCTACGTATAAAAATAAATGGAAAATTGATCAATATACAGGGAAATTTTTTTTAACGGACACTTAAAATAAAAAAGTTAATTAACATTATAGGGGATCGTCCTGTACCTAATATCCCAGTGTATATATAACTGTTCTTTAATGCATATTCGTTTCCTGTACAGGGAGTGTCGTGGAGTGGATTTGGCCATGGTTGATAAAAAAAAGCAATTTGCCGCGGGCAAGGTCAAACGACCTCGCGCGCCAATAGCGAGCCGCGTCACTCGTAAGGACGGCGTTTTTAAGGATCAAAGTGGCACGGATCCTTTGTCCTTGCCCTCCGATGCTGCAACCAGCGTTGCTTGTTGGGTTATCGATAAGCGAGCGTGTTCTATTTTTGGACCAACGAATCAGGCACTAAATCGCGATTTTTATTTTGCAACTCGAGTTTTTTAGATTTAGTTCATATCTCGATAAGGTTTTGTTATTTTTTTTAATTGGGTTGATAAAGTGCATTTTCAAGATCGTTTTTATTGTTTTTTTGTAGATAACATGAGTTTGTAGTTTATTTTGTAAAATTTTAACATTATTTTTTCCAGAAAATCAGGTTTTTACAAAGGAAAATATTTTACCGAATGTAGTGTAAAGATAATATGCAATTTTGTAAGCGTAGTTTCAGGCAGTCAATCATTTCCACTGACAATACGCATCAACAAGTTCAACTGACTTCAGCGTCCGCAACTTATGTTTCTGCTTACTTTATTCTAAATCGTAACTTGTTTCTTAACAACTGTTCAGTGTGTTTATAATATATTAACAGAAATCTGTTATTATTGTTATACGGATTCCTTATACCTTATACCGAGTGTGCGAATTGCGAAGTATCAGAAAAAAGATGCCATCACTGGTTTTCAAACTAAAATTAGGGGATACAGTAAAGTGGGTTAAAGTTACGAAATTCATCAGTAAGTCTTGAAGTAGTACTGATAATTATATTGTACCAAATTTTTTTATAATTTGATGATTTCAGAATGGTGTGTTATTTAATTGAGTGTTTGTTATTTATGTGTTAATTTATTTGTTTAGGATATTTAATAATAAAGCAACATTTTTTATCAAAATTCTTTTCATTTAAGTTCCCAATTTCCAACAAATACTTTTGTTACTGGGTCTAAAGAAAGGTTTGTAAAAATAAGGTCCTTTTTTGAAAATTACAAGAATGGTTGAATTATTGACATAGGATTTTGTTATTAAACCTACAAAATGTTTGTTATAATTACAAACTATTTATTCAATTAGTTAACAGATTACAGTTGGTTGTAAACTTAACATAAAGTTATGTGGACCTGGATAAACATGTTTATGCTTGTATGCATAAAAGCTGATTAATATTTGGTTAAAATTAACAAATATTTTTTTACTGTGTACTTATGAATATAATGGTATTACCAGTTTTCATGATTTTTTTTATTTTTTATTGATTTTAATCCAACTAAAATTAATAATTTTCTGGAATTTAAGAAAAATTTCAGGGATTGCTTTGTAATATATTTTTTCGTATATGTCCCTTATTTAGTTATTAATTAAATATGAATTTTTGTACACCCTTGTATTTTAATAATAATAATTTTCACTAAATCACTAAATCACCTATATTTTCAAAACATTATTTTGATTTAAATTAAAATTTAACATTGTTTTTAAATGAAATTTTTTTTAATCAACTAATATTTCTAGCATATACAAAAAACGCCGGCGTATGTAGTATATTTTTAGTTTTAATTTAAAATGAACAATATGAATTAATTGAAAACAAGGCCAGCCTAAAAAAAATACAATAGTATACTACCACTTTAAATTATTGAAAATTTATTTAAATTATTCGAGTTTGTGTATTTGACTGTTATACCGTCTAATCGTGAATTGTTATCGCCGTTTTGTTGGTAACATTGACCTGAAAAAATGTAAACAAACTTTCGCCAAAATTCACGAATTAATAACACTGAATTTTTTGTATAATATTACATAAAAATATCGTCACGGATTTAAATCTTTTGTGAAAGATTTATAATGGATTTCGAAATTTTGTGTTTTTGTAAATTTTTGTTGTTTACAGTAGATTATAAATTCAATAGTGTAAATGTAAACATATTTATATTTTTGTCTATTGAGGTATTTAATACGTCATCAACAAAAATGACGTCAAGGAATCATAGATAAAAAAAATGGAACAAGAAATAGCAATTTGTATCATAGATAATAGACAAACATTTTTTCAAGATAAATGCAATCTAAAAAAACTGCACTGCAACACTTTGTTTAAATGCAATCGAACGTTATCAATAAAAAATCGAACAAAGCATAGAAAATGCTTATCACATAAATCTAATCCCAACAAAAAAGTGCGTCACCTTTTGTAACAAAAGTCGAATCTTTAGAAGAAAAATTGGCAGGTGCAGGTCATTTTTAGGGAACCAGACGTACTTTATCTAGTACAGTGAACCCTAACAGGTAGTCGTCTACGTATGTGTGTAGAAATTCGGGGTTATTATACCATGGCACCCCTCTTTTGCTCTCTTTAAAACAGCTGTGCTGCGACGTTGCTCGTATCCAGAGAGATCAAAAAGAAGCCGGGAGACCACTTTTTGTGCTTTCTAAATTGCTGTAGTCTGCTTTTAAAATAATAATTAAGGCATTTTTAAATTCCTCGACTTAAATTTAAATGTTCTTAAAAGTTTAGGAACTTCTGCTTTATCACGATATCACCAAAATTGCAAAAACGTTTAAAAGTATTTATAAATACTTTTAACGAAAGTAACACCGAAACACATATTTACAAAACCTATGGATGCCAATCTATATATATATGAAAGCCGAAATCTAGATTTTGTTTTTTACATGCTGAACGTCAAAGGTGTTTAGTACGCTTGCGTTTTGAAACAAAAACACATATCCACAACTACACATATCCGGCTGTATGTAGCAAAAAGCGGAAGCCATTTATTTTTATTATTTGCCATATTGTGGGATTAAAGTAACGCCCAATACGAAAGCAGCAATTTTTTCGCTTCAGGGGGTGGTTACAGATTTTTCAACGTACTATTTTTCGAACATTAGATTGTAGATTCTGCTGCAGTTGAAAAACACACGCAAACGCTAAAGTGTATAATTATATTCTGTGATTAATTAACGTAATGTTAGTTCATTACTCTTCCATTGAAAAAAATCGACTGACTGAAAAAAAGTTTTCTAGTTTTTAAAAACGTCCCATATAAAAATTTATAATGTTTTATATTTTTGTACTGCCATATTGAATCATAACAAACCTATTAGTTTCAACTCTGACACCACAAAAGGGGACAAAGCTTCCTCAAAATAAACTGAAAAAAAGCACCTAGTAAATTCATTGTGTTTTCCAGTGCATCTCTAGAACTGCGTTTTAAAGTTTTTGTTCATGATAATACGGCCAGGTTTGCGCATATCGACGACTCCACAAAGGCACGTGGTGATTCAAAACAAAATACGGCGTCATAAGCAGTGTTGCCCCGTTTACACCCGCTATTCTTGTGATTATAGCAGAGACCTTCGAGAAATTCAATTATGTGTTTATATTATATTTTAAGCGTTATCTTATGTAAATTAATCGATAATTTTATTCGTTTTCATTTGTTACTATGCTGTGTAAATATTTTTTTGTATTTTGATTTTACATGTCAACATAATTCCATCTAAATTTTGATAAATACAAGGCTCGAGTTGTGGGAAACCTGCGACATATGGCAACAGGGCAAAACAGGCCCTACTGCCGATGTAAACATTACAGGGGCAATGTCCTCGATCCAAGAGACCTGTGTTCCCCCTCTCCCCTTCTTACACGCTCTTCTTTGTGCCTTTTGGTGATATCATAACAATGTTACGATAGAAAAATATTTACGCCACTGAAAAATCCATTTCGCTCATTAACCACTGTGATATGCTTTGGTAAAGATGTCAAGTTGTGCAATTAAAA